AAAACTATGTTGAATAGTAGTGGTGAGAGTGGGCACCCTTGTCTTGTTCCTGATTTCAGGGGAAATGCTTTCAATTTTTCACCATTGAGGGTGATGCTTGCTGTGGGTTTGTCATATATAGCTTTTATTATGTTGAGGTATGTTCCTTCTATTCCTGCTTTCTGGAGAGTTTTTATCATAAATGGATGTTGAATTTTGTCAAAGGCTTTTTCTGCATCTATTGAGATAATCATATGGTTTTTATCTTTTGATTTGTTAATGTGTATTACATTGATTGATTTGTGGATATTAAAGAATCCTTGCATTCCTGGGATAAAGCCCACTTGGTTCGTGTGCATTTTTAAGTTTAGTTTTTGTAGTGAAGTCTAGCATAGATTTGCTTTGTTGAAGTTTTTCTTTGTAGATCTTAAAACTATTAAAAAATAATGCTCATTCCATCAATGGTGTTTGTTGCAGAATTATAGATTTTATTACACACTAGTGTAACACCAGTTTATATTGACTATCAGCTTCATAACTTCAGAACTGGATTAGAAATAAAAGTATCAGCAGTCAATAAGCAAGGAATAGGTAAGTATCTGCCATTTTTTTAAAATGTGTTTAACATGTTTAGAACTCTTGATTTAGAAAAGAAATACTGTTAAACATTTTAATAATGGAGAAAGACTCTTGGTTGATACAGCAATGTTATAACAATGCAGAAACTTTTTTAAATGTCTGTGCTGAAATCATTTTAAAACTCAGGAAAATTTTTTAATTATAAAAAAAAACCTATGTGTTTAATGTTGTCTCAGGTTTTATGTGCAAGTCCAGAAAATAGAGGAAAGTCTAGTTTAATTATTGGATAGATTAATTGTACTAATATGTTTACTGGTGAATTACTCAGGTATGTGTAGAAACAAATGAAGGGATGGTACAACTGTAAATCATAACAAAAACTATTAGGCAGTTTGAGAACTCAGAATAGTGGCGAGTCTAAACTGAAATACTAACAAGATTTGTAGGTCCTGTAGACAGGATTGATGCTTTGAAGTGTCTAAATAGCTTCAACATAATTGGCTGGGAGCATGCCAGTCCTGCCAGTCCTCTGCACAGTGCCATACATCCAGCCTTCATCTATAGCTTGAACGTTCACAATGGCATCTCCATCTTTGAAGGACACCTCATCTGCATCAGCAGCCATATAGTCATACATGGCACGGAAGATTTTCTATCGGTAAGGACAAAAAAGGGAAATGTTAGATTTGCAACAATTAACCTAAACAGCTAATTTTTTAAAGTCTCTTACAACACCAAAAATTTAAGTTGCACAAAACAATGTGCAGCTACCACCAAAACTAAAAAGACGAACTAGGAGAAAATATTTGCAAATTGTATATCTAATAAGGATTATAGAGAGAGAGATATGTGTGTGTGTGTGTGTGTGTGTATATATATATCTCCCTGGTGACTCAGATGGTAAAGAATCTGTTAATGCAGGAGATTCGGGTTTGATCCCTGGGTCAGGAAGGTCCCCTGAAGAAAGAAATGGCAACCCACTCCAGTATTCACACACACACAAACACACACACTATTCAGATCCTTTGCTGAGGATCTGAATTGTCAAAAGGAGATATACCAAGAGCTAACAAGCACATGAAAATACTCGACATCATTAGTCACCAGGAAAATGTAAAGCTACAATGTGATACCACTATGCACTGGAATAATAATTGAAAACAGGTACTGCGGAGGATGTGGAAAAATTGAAATCTTTTATAAACTGCTGATGGAAAAAGGTGCAGTTTGGAAAACAGTTTTGGAAATTTCTCCTATTTTAGATAGGTATATACCTAGAATTGCTAGGTCACATGGTAACTAAGAGGAATGAATGTATGTCCACACAATAAGTTGTATACCCTTATTCATAACAGCTAAAAACTGGAAACAGCCCAAATGCCCACCAACTGATGATGAAAATATTTTCATACAGTATAGTAATATTTGCTAATATAAAGGAATTAGTACTGATAAATGATACATGGATAAACCTAAAAACATAAAGCTAGTCACAGAAGGCCACATATTACATGATTTCATTTATATGAAATGTCCCAAATAGGCAAACATAGAAATTACATTAGTGGTTATACTAATGTTTTATTAGAGAAAAAGAATTTGAAAAATCAGCCAATAGTGCATATTTCTCTCACTTTGAGAATTTGGGAGCATACCAGAAATAAGATTTTCTGGAAAGCTAATGGTGAAAACAAAAAATACAGTATGGTGAGAAAGGAAAATGGGATGTTGCTAATCAACAGCATAAAGTTTCAGTTAAGCAAGATGAATGAATGCTAGAGACAACTCAACCTTGAATCTATAGTAAATGTACACCGAAAAATAAGAGGGTAGGTAGATCTCAGGTTAAAGTGTTCTCACAACGAAATTTTTACAAACTGTAACAGTTTAGAGATACAAATAAAATTTGAAAGTGCCCAAATTTTCTTCATAGGAGCAGCTACTGGTTAGTTATTTGGCATGAGACCTACATATTTTTCCCTAGCATTTTGAAACACACATATTCACATTCAAGGATAGCCCCCCCACATAAGTGGAATACTATAAATAATAACTTGTTCTTTCCATTTGATATAGCTTGGAGGTCTGTCTGTATATAGATTTATTCTGCTTAAGAGAATTCCATATTTTAATAATAACCACAAGTTATTTAGCCATTTCTGTATTTCTAGACAGTTAACTATCATTCTGTATTCGTCCACTAACCCCATAGTGTTTGTCTTCAGGTGTCTGTCTTTGGGCTGAAAGTATTAGGTCAAAGTTACTTGCCTTTTAAGTTTTCTTAAAAGTTTGCTACTATAATAGAATACTTTTTTATAATTTGTATATTTCTGGTTAGTAGTCATGGTGAACCTCTTTTCCTTGGCCATTTTTGTTTCTTTTGTAGATGGTTTAGGCATATGCTTCCAGGCTCATTTTGAAGGGAAGAGGAATAATAATGTCAATGAATTTTGGATACTTCATGCAGTTTTAGATGTTAATCTTTTGTTATGTATGATTTCTCCCAGTTTGACATTTTTTTTTTCATTTATTTTTATTAGTTGGAGGCTAATTACTTGACAATATTGCAGTGGGTTTTGTCATACATTGACACGAATCAGCCATGGATTTACATGTATTCCCCATCCCGATCCCCTCTCCCACCTCCCTCTCCACCCGATTCCTCTGGGTCTTCCCAATGCACCAGGCCTGAGCACTTGTCTCATGCATCCCACCTGGGCTGGTGATCTGTTTCATTATAGATAATATACATGCTGTTCTCTCGAAACATCCCACCCTCACCTTCTCCCTGACATTTCTTTTTGTTACAGTTTTTTCCTTTACGTTTCTAGATTTTGGAACTTGCCGAGGAAGATTTTACCCTCTGCAATATTGTAAAAATAGTCTTTTTCTGTAGTATTTTACAATTTTGCTTTTTTTCCTCTGCTTATTTGTAACTCTTTTCGGGTCTGTTTTTGGACTTGTTTTAAAACTATTCTCATGCTAAATTCATATTTAATTATAATAGCTTTCTAGCATATTTTACTCTATGGTTAAGTCCTTTCCTATTGTCATTTTCAAAATCTGCTTCATCTTACATCTTTACTCTTTCAAATAAATTTTAGGATTAATGTATAAAATTTTTATAATTATTGTACTAGGATTTGGTTGGAATTGCCTTGAATTTATGGATTTATTTCTGGAGAAATGACTGCAAGATTCCCTTCCTGAACTATAATAGGTTTTAATACTTAGCAATCTTTATGTACTTTAGTAAAGATTTTCTTCATACAGATATTGTTCATTTCAATAGTAAAGAATTATAATATTATGTTGTAATATTATGAAATGAGATCCAGGGTTTTTAAAAAATATTTATTCATTTATTTGGCTGCCCCAGGTCTTAGTTGCAGCATGTGGGATCTAGTTCCCTGACCAGGGATCGAACCTGGGCCCCCTCCATTGGGAGCTCAGAGTCTTAACCACTGGGCCAGCAGGGAAGTCCCAAGAGACCCAGGGTTTTAAACTGAGTTTTAAGATAGTCTGGTGAATTGGTGAACATGATTTGACTTATCTCTTGTACATATAAGGGAAGATATAAGGTATGACTAGATTACATGTGACGTGTGCATACACAAATACTATGGAAGAATGATTCCAAACAACAGATGCTTTGCTTTAAGATGGTGGGTGGGTCTGATGAGCCCACAATGATTATTTTGCTTTAGTTTTTCTGTGTGTTTTGTGTGTGTCCATGTGTTTGTTTTAAATCACTGAATAATGCTCTTTAGTTACATGAGTTGTTAATGAAGGTTCTCTGATATTTATTACTGTTAACATTATACAAAATAGAAGTCTTGGTTTAAAAAAAAAAAGATCACACCTGTAACCATTATTTCACATATCAAAAAAGAAGGATGACTTGAGTAAGTGATGGTTACTTACTCCAGCAGTGGACGGATGGGATGGGATGGAGGATACCGTTGTCTGCTGGGTAGCAACTGAAGATGATCGTTGCTGTGGGAGCTCTGTGGTTCTTGCATGTTTGTAACCTGAAAGGAAAGGGGAAAATAGCATTAGAAGAAAACGTAACTAGATATCATTTACTCTGTGTTTAGCAATTGAGCAGCAGTGTCTTCCCCCCTAATTTAAAAAGAATGATTTCTAAGAAAGGAGGAATGAAAATGAAATAGCTAACTGTATGTACCTCTCCACAATTTTAGACTCTCATTAGAAGAAAAGGTTCAGACTTTTTTCTGTTTCTACTCAAAGCATCTCTTACAGTAACATCCAGTGAACTGACTCCCATGGCTATCGAGGTCAGGGCCATCCACTTGTACCTGTGGAGGTTGCAGAGAAGAAGACACCCCCATCACTGTAGGTGGAGAGGTGGGCAGCTTCTGAATGCTCTGACTTCTCCTCTCCACCACTGATGCTTAGCCCGCTGGCTGATCGAGACTGCTCCCGGCTCCGGCGCTGAGCTTGTGCTGAAGGAGGTAAGATCCATCAGAGAGGGGACAGGAATGAAATTTTCCTAGTAGGAATCCCTAATGGTAATTGAATCTCAGTTGTTTTTTTTCATTATCAAACAGTTTTTAGTAGATTTCCATGGATTAAACCCTCAAAACTCTATAATACAAGGTGGTCCTCATTTTCCAGTTGAGAGTTTAATCACCCAAGGTCCCCTAACCATTAAGTGGTATAGCCAGGCTTCCAATCCCTGAGTCTGTCCTTGACCACTGTTTCTTCCTTATAGCCTACTCATTTTCCTGGCTCACCAAAACGAACAGGTAGTAATGTTCACATTCAAATTCCACCTTTCAACTTCTCCAGAAAGTTCCCCTGATTTCCAAATTTATTTAGATGCCCTCTCTGTTTCCACAATCTGTGTGAAGACCTTTAAAACTGTTCATGTCAGGGTATAACTACTGATTTACTGGTCTCTATTCATCAGACTAGAGGATAAATTCTTCAAGATTTACAGGCACTACGTATTAGTTTACTTTTAACATGAATAAAGGGTATGAAGGCATGTGGCCTCTTGTTGAATGACTATCTTCCTTGCCATAAGGGAGTTCAGAAAGTTGCTAAAGGTCAACCCCATTTTTTCCCCTTTGCTTATGTATTTTATTTTATTGTCATTATTTCTCCAACAGAAAAATTTACTACCTGTTTTTCTTTAGGAAAAAAAATATATAATGGGGACCGAAGGGGACTTACCTTGAGGCAGTGAAACAATCTTTTCCTATCTTGAACTTGTCTAGAAAGTGAGCTTGGCCCACTAGTCAAGGAGATGTTTTTATGCTGAATGGGCAACTCAGGAAATTGAGAGCCCTGGAGGAGATTAACTTTGAGTCTAAACGGCCCTGGCACTAGCCCACTAAATGGTGATGTTTATGTCATAAGCCTTTTGCAGCATCACATACCATTAATCATGTGTAAGCTTCGGGACTGAATATTGTCTTCTGCTGGATCATAGTCAAAAACTGAGCCAGGATTGGTACGCCAGACACGTAAACCTGAAAGTGAGATTAAGGGTCAGCACAGATGTTCTCCCACTCGGGTAATTTGGAGACCGAAACATGAACCTAAACAACCACAGGCAAATTGAATAATTTAAAGCTTATTTCCCCCCCCAGATCCCAGTTACCTGTAATAGTTTCCTGATCCTGGTCATTCCGTTTCTGTTCCATTTCTACCACTTTCCTCTGAATACCCCGGTAGCTAATGTCACTGAAGTCCTGTGTGTTCTTCTTCACTCTCTCAGTGATGGGGTCTGTCACCACCGGTGTGAAGCAACCCTTGTGTTTCTCAAAGTCTTCATGATATTTCACCTGAAATTTCATGAATTCATTTGGTGAAAATAGGATGGTGTGATCATTTATTTTTCACTTGTTCCAACAGGCTGCCCACCCGATCTGAGGGATTCCTGACTCACTGTTGAGATGTGGCGCTGGGTCTCTCTCACCCGTCTCATCTCTGGCGTGTCCAAGACATAGGCAGCTTTGCCTTGGATTTGTTTCCGGAAGCTATCAGAATAAAGCACCTGACAGACGAGAAACCATGGATGAGGGAAAGTTATGGTACCATTCTAATTCTGAAGTCTCAAAATCTTTCCAACAGATGGAAGTGAAGCATGAGTCACCTAAAAATTCCCAGCAAGCCCATGACAGAACTGTGAGCAAGAGGGTAGATGGGCAGGGCTTGAATGAGATAAAGGATTTGTTTTGACTCTGAAAACATAGCTTTCATTTTCAAAGGAGATGGGGCAAAGTATAATTTTGAAAGGAAAGGAAAAAAAAAATCGTTCTTGAATTTGCTGGGAATTGTAGCACCAGTACATTGGATGGTATATGGCACTAAATGTGATACATTTTAAAGAACTATCCTTTAAAATAAGTGATCATTTTTTGAAGGGTTATGTCCAGATTTTATGAACCAGTGTGCTAATACAGAAATCAAAGTCTCAGACATGAAAAACCCAAAATATCGAAGTCAGAGTAAGGCACCCATTTCATCGTATTACCTGTTTCATAAAGCATCTTAAAGGATTGCTGAAGATAGAGAATGTTAGGAAGTCAATATGTTACAGTCAGTTATATAAGACTACCTCAGAGTAAAAGGGAAGAGAGGACATTGGCAATTAACTTGTTATGTCTTAGTACAATCATTTGGAATTTAAAAGCATAGTTGTGTTAATTTTAGTGTGAATTTTCAATGGGATAAAAAATGCACATTTTTATGGTGTTAAAATGTTATTTTCAAGATGTTGCGTTTCTTTTTTCGTTTTAGTGTGTTTTTCAGTTGAATGAGAAAGACACTTTATGATGTTAAATTGTTATTTTCTAAGTTGTTGCACTACTCCTTTTTAGTCCTGGAGAATACCGAGCTAATGTTTTCTTGGTTGCGCTTAGCTCTCTCCATCTCTGGAGTGACCGGTGTCGGAGTTGCTTTTCTCATATTCTCTTTGTACAACACCTAGAGGAGCCAAGAGAGCATCCAGATATCAGAGAGCAGAAACCCGATTCTGAAAACCACCATCTAGCTGTTGTTACGGCTCAATTATGTCACACTCTATAACACCTCACAAAGAGAAGCCATTACAATGTTATGGTATAAAGCAAAAGGTGAAGAAAGGAATCAGTTCGAGCTGGCAGGGTTGGTATGGTTTTTAAGTGGGTAAAGAAGGATTTTAAAAGATAAAAGTTTGGAGGAAATTGGGAGGTAAATTAGTGGTATAACTATGTTTGCCAGGCTTGTTAAAGGTGTCACCGTCTCTTTTTCCCTCTCTCAAATACCGAGCTAAAGTTTTCTTGATTGCGTTTGACTCTTTCCATCTCAGGAGTAAAGGGTGTGGGGGTGGCTTTCCCCAGGTTCTCTTTGTATAATACCTGTGAGATACAAAGTTGGACCCGAAAGTCACTGGGAGGCAGTAGTCAGGCTATTCAATGTAATGCGATTTGGGGGAGAAAAACCCAGATTTTATCTACTACTATTAGTGAGAACAACTCAAGAAAAAGCTTTAAAAAACAGTTAATGGCAACAGTCAATGTAGTATATTGTTTAGGGGAGATTCTAAAAAAACTGGCATTTTGTTTGTTTTTAACCTGGGATGGAGTTAGGAGCAGGTCAAACGGCAGGGGTTACTTTGCAGAATGAAAAAGCACTTTTGTTTGTCAAGACAATACCGAGCTAATGTTCTCTTGATTGCGTTTGACTCTCTGCATCTCTGGAGTGACAGGGGTTGGGGTGCCTTTGCCCACATTTTCTTTGTACAAAACCTATGCGAGTCCAATGGATCCAAAAAGAAAAAAAGAATTACAGTTACAAAAGATTAAACAGAGCAGATCATTTGTTAGGAGGCTCAGGTTGCTAAACTATTTGGGCACTAAGATTAGATGGAAAGAAATGTTTCCAAAAGCAAGCTAATAATAGTTACAGCACATTTCCAGAGTAGAACCCTGTCCTGAAATCCTTGCAGCCTAAAAGACAGAACTATAGTTTTTTGTGCCTAGTTCCAGGGCCCACATGGGAGACCGCCTTTACTCTACCACTAATCGATGCATGTCAAGCACCTGACAGATAATCTGTCAGGATTTAGGAGCACGCACTTGAATAACACAGAAGGTGGAGGCTGCTCCCTAAATCGGAATGGGAGACTGGACCCGTCTGCCACACACATCAGGGAAATGTATCTGTGTTCTGCCTCTTGCTTTAATTCAGAACATCATCATCCTTATCAATAAGTAAAAATGTTTTCAGTAATTACATCACTCATAGCATTAGTCAATAGGAAACAACAGTAATGCATTGTGATAAATTCCCAGCCCCCCTGTCACTAGTGTCATTCTTGATGTCACAGAAGATTCGAGCCATGGCATTCAAGAGGAAGAGTTCTATCAAAGAACCAATTCTCAAAGTTGAGGTCCCTGGACAACAAGGTTAACATCACCTGAGACTTTGCTGGCATTGCAAAATGTCTGGCCCCATGCCAGATCTACAGAATAAGAGACTGAGACTTGGGGTCCCAGCAGTCCCGTGTTCCAGTATCAGAGGAACCTCTCTAGTATGTAAGGTAATGTCCCCACACAAACCCCAATCCACAGCAATCTCTTTACATCTCAGAACAAAGGCTTACGAAAAGTACCTTACTTAAATTAGCATTTAAAGACCATGATAGAAGAACAGAAAGAACTAAAATTGGTAAAACAAAAAGTAGTTCAAATGACACTCCTTTTAAAGTAAATGGACAGTGATTTGGCAAAACTACTACTGGATCTTAATTTATGTCATTATGCCTGAAGGAGAGGATAGGGGTTATTTTTCCCAAGGTCTCTCTGTCTAAATCTGATGGGGTAAATTATAACCTAAAGTCAGCTGCAAAAAAATAAATAAAATCGCAATTTTGATGTTCCAGAAAGAATCCCGTCACACCTACTACTCCACTCCCCACTTTTCACAAATACATAAAACAAAGAGACCTTAGGGGTAATGGATAGAGAGTTAGGTTTGGGGAGAGAGGAGCAAAGGATGACTTGGAAAATCTGTTACTTCCTGATATTAGAACTTTAAAATAAGGGATTAAAGCAATGTTGTTATTCTGAGGTTAAATACAGGAGTAGCCCTACAAGGAAGAAGGATAAATGTGATTAAGAAATTCACAAAATTTCAGTTATCTTTAAAAAGTAGGATTAATATGTATTATTTTAAATTATTAAGTAGTTTGGTTTTTTTTTTTTTTTTTTTTTTGTCTTGCTGCAAGTACCGAGCTAATATTTTCTTGATTGTGTTTGATTCTCTCCATCTCTGGAGTGACAGGTAAAGGGGTTCCCTTGCCCATGTTTTCTTTGTATAACACCTGTGTGATAAGAAAGCATCCAGAAAAACAACCGTAAGTAACATTTCATTTGTTGTGAGACTTTAAGGGTGAGTTCAACATCCTTGTTATCAAATGACACAATAATCCAAGGAGCCAGGAGTTATATGCTGAGAAGATGCCACCAAAAACTTTAAGATAGCCATTCTTGGGATGAGGAGACTGACTTTATCTAGGATCTTTAGCTGCTGGGGAAAAGCTGTGGAGTTACCTTCCCAAATAATCACATGAGGATTTGAGACTGTTAGAATGTGGTTTTGTTGTTATCCAAGCAAACTAAAAGAAAAGAGGTTTTAAAACATATTTTTAAATGCCAGATGGAATAGAAATCAGAATTAGGAAAAGAATCCATAGTAGTACCACAGGAATGAGAAATGTCGTTTTGCTAAGTGAGGTATATTAGAAGCAAAGGAATGGAAGTAGGTTTAAAAGGAGAAAAAATATTAAGTATCAATTTCTTTATGAGGTTAAATGACATCTCCTTTTCCCTTTCTTCCCAAAATACCGAGCTAAGGTTCTCTTGATTGAGTTTGACTCTCTGCATCTCTGGAGTGGTGGAGACTGGGATTCCTGTGCCCAGGTTTTCTCTGTATAGCACCTGTGTAATTAGAAAGCATCCAGAACAAAAAGAGCGGTCAACCACTCCCCCCTTCTTGCAGAGCAGTGGCGAGTAGCAGGGCAGGGAGGAAGAGAATGAGTTAGAGGAAGGAAAATACCAGAAGCTTCTAGGTCCATCCTATAGGAGCCTAAAGACATCCTTAAAAGCAAGGGAATGCAGGAAGGAGCAGCAAAAACTTGAAAGTTTTGTTCCTGAACTAATCTCTGCAATGCTGAGCAAAGGAGAACACCACAGAAAGGAACCATGAGCTGCACCCCCAAGCTTGTTATGAGGATGGGAGAAAACAGAAAGGGAGACAGAAGGAGAACCAAGGATTTTGTTTTGGAAATATTGATCAACCACACATAGGGATATTTAGGTTTTATAAACATTGCGTATTTAAAAGTACATACACACAGATCTTCTTTTGTTGACTTTCAAAAGAAGTCAGATTTTTAGTTTGGGTGAAATATTGGGAAGAATTATACTTGAGGTAAATGGAGAACAGTGACAAAATGCTAAAAGAACTTGAAAATGTCTATACAAATACCAGTAGAGATCAAAAAGGTTAGAATAGGAAATGAGGCCAACAGTTTATATTTATTTATAGAACAAATTTTTGTAAACTCTACGTTCAAAGTTACCAAAGCAGGATAAACATGGGGGTTTAGAGACTGGGTATGTTATGTTTTTAAAGGTTGGAAAGTAATTATTGAACATTTTTTAAGTGATATTAATGTTTAACCAAAATGGGGAGACTGATTTCATGGGAAATGGCAGCATTAAGTTGTAAACAAGACATGTCAAAAGTTTTTACTGGAATAAGTTGATTAGGTTTTAAGATATAGCCATTAATCTTTTTAAAAAATGATTTTAAATTAGTTAAACGGTTTTTTGTTTGTTTTTTTAAATACCGAACTAAAGTTTTCTTGATTGTGTTTGACTCTCTCCATCTCTGGAGTGATGGGAATTGGAATCCCTTTCCCGATGTTTTCTTTGTATAACACCTGTACAATATAAGAAAGCATCCAGAAAAAAACAAGAGCAGTCAAAACAGCCCTTTCAGGTATCATTTAAGGAGCCTATGAAATACAGACATCACACAGGAAAGACAAATTCACCAAGTCAGCCTGTCTTTTCTAGCACAGGTCTGGATGAGAACATGTTCCACATTTCCTTGGCTAAAGAGCCAGTGTATTTGATATTCAACTTTTATGCTAACTCATGTTAAATGTTGATTTTCTGTGTTAAAAATTAAGAAAAATTATTTCATAAAAGTACTAAAATACTTAGTGTACCATAGAAAGGTTATTTTTTAATTGGAGGGCAAATATTCATTTTCCCTACACAGAATATTCATTTTACAGAATAACACATATTTTAAACCTCAGGTCAAATCTATGCAATATAGGAAATAGGTCTTTGTTGTGTAAATTCAAGTTATACAGGTGGTTGAGTCTAAATACAGAATCTTCAAAGGTTCTTAGCACCACTGGACAATTTTGTCTAAACACAACCTATGTAAAAATTAACACAAATGGTTACTTAAAGGAAGAAATTGTCCAGGATCATCAGGATCATTAATATCTCAAATAGATGTAAATAATAATATACCTACTCTAATACAGAGGAAAATAATTTTTAAATAACTTTGAAAATTAATGTAAACTTTTCCACAAGAAGGAATAATAACAACAAACCTATAGGGAAAACAGTAAATATAACATTCCAAAAATATCAATTTATACTGAAAGTTCAATAAAATCAAAAGATTGTTAGTGAATAGTAATCACAAACAAAAACAAAAAGACAGTGGGACCCAAGAAGGTTACTGATATTATCTGGAAGTTTGATTCCTTCACATAATTATTTCAATGAACAATTAAAAAACATTTTGGATGAAACCTCTTCCTACTGCTCTACTCTTTCCCCTCCTCAAAAAGAATCCAGCTAAGTTTTCCTAATGACTTGGATTCGCCATCTCAGGCATAAATGAATCTAAGATCCTTATATGAAAGCTTCACAGACTATTGAGTATTATAGTTTTTCAACAAAAATATTAAGAAAAACAAACTCATCTAATTCAAATATTTTTTTAAAAATCAGAAGGTCTGGATTTCTACTGATGGAATGTCTTGTTTGGAGCAAGTATCAAGATTCCTTTGGGTTCTGATTCTGAGCAATTTTCTCTCTTGGTGCCACTGTTTTACAGGTAGGATCTCTGTTAAGGTAACCCCTGTCCACAGCAAGGGCCATTATTTCTACCTGGGGCCTCAAGTCCTGTGTCTTGTCTTACAATGCTAACCCAGCCACATCAAATAAAAATAGTTCTAAGTAAATAAAAGCTATAGTATTGGGGGGTTTTGGATATCAATGAACTTCAAAAGTCCTATAAAACATGGAAAGGAACCTGTGAAAAGTTGTAAGGGACTGTTATAGGAAGTATAAAATGTTAGAATCAAATGGTGAGTAAGAGATCTGGAAAAAGGAAGAATTCAGTTGATGAGTATTTTTTGTTTTTTGTTTTTTGTTTTAAAAGAATTTGTTAAGCTGATTATTTTTAAGGGACTAACAGGAGTTTTTATAGAAAGGTATTATTATTTTTTAATACAAAGTTAAAGGAGCTTTCTCCCAAATACCGAGCTAAAATTCTCCTGGTTGCGCTTGACCCGCTCCATCTCAGGGGTGACAGGGACGGGAGTCCCCTTGCTCAAGTTCTCTTTGTAGAGAATCTGTGTGTATAAAACCAATAATCAAATCAGCCTGGATCCATTGTTAAGGTAGGCTCTAAAAGTATTTTTGCTTGTTTGTTTTCCTAATGACATGAAATAGGCCTAAATAAATTTCAGAAATAGAACAAGTATAGATTATCTTTGGACATTTCATCACAAACAGTATGAGGTCTGTTTCATACAAAAAAGTGACATTAATACCAACAGAACTTTCAGATTACAGGCAGGAGTCACTTATTGGATTTGCCAAAAATTTCATTGAGATTTTCTGTAAGATATTACCAAAAAGCCCAAATGAACTTTTTGGCCAACCCTCATACATATATACACCTTTTCTCAAAGGCAGGATTAGGATTTACCAAATAGTGCTCAAGTTAACTGAAATTTATATGCATAGTGAGCTGTTGGTAATTCTCAGGAGACCAAAAAGAAAGGGGTTTGGGAAATAAATAAATATTAAAAGCTAAATAAATATTAGCGTTCAATGACCCTGAAGCTATTCCAAAGAAACCCATTTATATCTCTTGTGATATACAAAAAATAGCTGAGCCAAGTAAACTTGTATTTCTGAGTCACTGTGAATTGCTAAGTTGTCTTTGGAATGAAAGTGTTCAAGAATCACATTCTTTTAAGAAACAATGCAAACACAGAATACATCAAACAGAGCCATAATAAATACAAATAGAATTCTAGTTAACATTGTCCTTTTGAAGGCATGTTAGATTTTACTTTTGATTTGTGCCACAACAGTTAGAAACATCTACTGTTATTCAAGGATTTGAGGAAGGAAACACTAAGTATTATAGGTTTTTAAGGAATGTGATCAATAGCTATGTTTTAGGAAAAACAGTTAAAATTTCACACCAGAACTAAAATACTGAATTAGATTTGGGTTGAAAACTGAGGTAACATTTGGTGTCATTTTCATTCTATGAATTTAGTATTTTTATAGTAAGAAAATTATATATTGGTAATGTGTTAAAAGTATTATTTTAAATAAAAATTAAGGGATTTTATATTTTTCCCCTAAGAAATACCGAGCTAAAGTTCTCTTGATTGCGTTTGACTCTCTCCATCTCTGGAGTGATAGGTGTTGGGGTTCCTTTCCCCAAATTTTCTTTGTACAAAACCTGTGAGATACAAAAAAGTACCCAAAAGACATTCAAAACAAGCACAAAGATCAAAGAAGAGAGAAAACTGGGGGCGGGGGTGTGTGAGGAGGGAGTTTTAGTGAGTTACATTTAGTAAGAATACTACTTTAACTTGTTACTTCACATTTTAAGGATAAACTCTATTCTGCTAATTCTGGAAATGAAAAAGTACAGCAGAAAGCATTGAGTTATAGGATATGAATGTAATGATGAGAAATCTTGTGTTAATTCTCTTTACAGTATTTCAGATCTAAGTGGTCACACTGATCAGTCACCAAAAGGGTTAAAATACCATCAGAAAAGTGAGTCATTTTGTGTAAGACTAGATGGTCTTGGTCAGGTGGTAACACACACACCACACACACACAACTGTTAAGATGTTATTTTTTAAAAGAATGATGGATTATTCTGGTAATTTTTTAAAATGGGAAGTCAAGTTTCTTAATTGATATATTTGTAAATACCGAGCTAAAGTTTTCTTGATTGCGTCTGACTCTTTCAATCTCTGGAGTGACAGGGGTTGGAATGCCTGTTCCCAGGTTCTCTTTGTACATAACCTGTAGAAGATAATTAGAACATCTAAAAAAGTGAAATGACCATGAATCCTTTGGATTTACACCTATATGCCAGCTATTTGGTGGACACTCACAGAAAGAATCTAGCTTTCAAACATGACGTTTAGGAATAAGGAAGAAAATGCCACAAATATTCATTTTCTCTCTTCAAAGGTAGTAACTTGACTACCTTGAAGACTGTACTAAACTGTGGCACTTTTCTTTAGTCAACATTTAGTATCAATACATTCCTAAAATGCATTAGAAAGTGCTAATACATTCAACACTGAAAAACACATTAACCATTTCATAACACCATTTCAAGTATTAGTCCCTTGAATATAGTAGGTCATACATAGGTGGCTTGGTTTAAATTTTTCTAATCATGTGTACTCTTCTTTCAGGGTTAATGAGAATTTTGTTTTGTATTTTCTTCAGAAAATTCCTAACTGGTCTTTAGTCTTAGGTACCCCTTAATGTAAGGAGACTTGAATAGTTTATTTCTGCAGGAAGAGCAACTTTCTCTGAAATTTTTACTCAGTGCTGAATCGTGTAAATTAGTGTTTTTGAACAGGGAGAAGTCCAAAGGACTGTGTTAATGAAACAAGTGAGGAACTTCCAGAGCCTTTTGTCATCCTCATTCTACCCTCCCTCACAGTGTTAACAATTGACCACCTAAAGGAAGCAAGGAATTAAGTGGATGGATTCTATGTTGTACTAGAGCAGAGGCTGGGGAACAGCATTGAAAATCTGGGGGTTTGTGTCACAAATTAATTCCTAAAATCACTGCCACTAGTGCTAATATCTCTATTTTCCTAGGAAACTTTTCAAGATCTTTAACAATCTACCATCTTCGAACAAAGTTGTATTTCTTTACTGGGCAAGGCAACGGAACTCATCATGGACCACAGAACAAAACAAAACCAGAGAAAGACAGGAAATTGGGATCAGAAGCGGCAAAGGTGATGCAGGCTGGCTTTCCTGGATGAGTGGACGTGCAATTCTAAATGCAGGGGAGCCAAGGTAGAAGCAGAGAATGCAAAGGGAATGAGGTGTAAAGGATATAGATGACTTGCAAGAGAAACAGCCAGTGTTCTCTAATGGAAATTCAATGGGATTGAATTTCCTCCAGTGGCCAAGAAAACCTCCATCAAGATCCTTGCCTTTTATTGGCTATAAACTATTTCCCAAACTTCACACAATCTTTGGCTAGTAGCCAGCAGCTGCTTAGAAACTGCTTGTGGATGGGAAAGAGTGGCGAGTGGCATTGGGGGATAGGGAATGGGCAGAGGCGGGGCTAGCTGGACAGAGGTCAGGAGAAATGTGTGCTAAACCTGCTATCTCAAGTGTGGTGGGTCTCCCAACATATACACAGACACTGTACACAGGTGTCTGAAATTCCTGTTAAGAGAACAGGCTTAAGATACACCTTTGTGGGTAAGATGACAGCCAGCACCTTCAGAACACACTGTATTTACTAGGAGAGAGCAGAGGACACAGGGCGAGGGGAGAAGGCTATGTAGACTTCACAAGGCTACCCAGGGTCTCCCGGATGGGGGAGAATATCCTGAGGTACATGCATGTACACAGCTTTGTTTTATATTTTACGGTTATAGGTATGTGTAGTTAACAAGATCATCTCAGTAACCTTATCACTACTGTCAGCACATTTTAAGGAACTGCACATATGATGATTAAACATGAAGCCAAGTCCCCTCTGCTCCCTGATTAATGTAAAGACAGAATTTCTTTATCTTGATTTTGCAAACTGCACTGCCCGTCGCAGGGCAGGGAGGGTCGTCCAAGGGGGTAGGAGGAGGAAGGGGTGATGCAGGGAGGGGCCAGCATTGGGAGGGGCCATTACCGAGCTGATGTGCTTCTGTGTCTGCTTGACGCGCTTCACCTCAGGCAGGTCTGGGATGGGCGTTCCTTGTCCAATCACCTCCTTATACTTCACCTGCAGGTATAAAAATGGGAACATGAGCATGTGTGTGGTTAGTCGCCCCACAGTGTACAAAGTCACGGTTTAAATAGCACAGCCTCTATCCTTAGTGGGAATGGGGCCACATTCTGATACTGGGTCAGAGGAGAACCATGTCAAGGACAAGGACACAGGGGGTCTCTATGATTTCTTTAGGGGTGGGGTCCACACTTAGGGAAGAGAAGGGGCTTCAGTCTGAGGTTTCCCATGTCTTATGCCACAGTTCATGTGCCCCGGGCAGACACACACACATACATATACATCTAGGAAGGGCCATTCTTTGACTCACAAGTGACAAGGAGTCTCTTGACCACATTCTAGTCAGGCACATCTGTATTGTCTTCCAACCTAGGTCTTAACCTTTGGACATCTTTATACCACCCAGTTTTAGCAAGAATCCTGCTAAGTCAGTTTAGCCAAAATCTCCCACCTGGGATATTTCATCCTCCTTAATATTTAATCAAATTCCTCACCCCTCAGCCCCAGCCCCGAGGTGAAGTCTGACTACCTTGATCTGCCATTTTAGCCATAATCCCCCTGCCTTCACCTCCCTGTTTCTTCTGAGTGATATTCCATCCATTGATTCCCACCCCATCCATCCACCCCTCATAAAACCCTACTTTCCCTTGTATTCAGAATTGAGCTCAGTTCTATACGGCGATCTCTTTTTCGCTATATTACAATTGTCCTGAATAAAGATCTTTTTTTTTTTTAACTAAAGTACTGTCCAACTCTGGTTCATTTTGACACAGGGCTCTCCATTCTTCATGTCTAACAAGTACTCATGAAAACTGCCTTGACACTGCATTATGGCATTTTCCTCTTATTTTAGCAACTTCGGCTGTTTTGGTGACAAAATCTTTGAGTGCAGCTCAGCCATCAGTGTGGATGATCAAAGGGAGGCAGAAGATACTGAAAATGAATCCCCAGTGGGTGTCTTTACCGAGCTAATGTGGTCCTGGGTTTGCTTCACTCTCATCATCTCCGGTGTCTTTCCAATCGCCGTTCCTGGTGAGACATCCTCTTTATATAAAACCTGAGTATTCAGAATTAGGACAGTGTTACACAGAAGAAAGGATAACACAACCATTCCTGGAGAAAGAGTAGGAAACATGCTTCTGTGAAAACAGAAGACACTAGAGAATGTTCTCAGGCAAGTGCTGGAGCGTCTTCTGCGTCAGCCCCAGTAACTCACACACGTAGCAACACGCATCACTTTTCAGACCTGGAGATTTCTTTTAAGATTATCATACTGTATTAATACATAATGAGAAAAGCCAGAAAATGTTGATTAAAAAACACTCCAGTGTGAAACACAAGATCCATTAAATAAATATAAAGTCAGTCAGTTATTTTGGGAAAGGATAATCACAGTGTCGAAAAGAAATCCATCTTCTTGGAGCAAGACAACACGTGTTACTGCCCTGGGATTAAAAGCTCCTTTGTTAGCAGATTTAAGTTGTTATTTCTAATGGTCTCTGGAGTGGTGGTTTTAGAGTGAATTATGGGGAATTTTAACAAATAACTGCTAGCATTAACAGGGGAGGTTAGATGTTAATTGTCTGAATCAATGTGAGGCTAGTATATTTTTAAAGAGACTGAAATTATTAGGTTAGCATTAAGTGGAAAATAAATGGTAAATATACCGAGCTGAAATTCTTTTGATTTTCTTTAACACGCAGTATTTCTGGTGTGTCTTGAACAACTGTAATTTTTCCTTTACTGTTTTTAAGGTCATACTGGTATTGGAGCTATGAGAAAAGAGTAAACATCTTGTTATGAAAAGAGAGAAAACATCTTAAGATTTCAACATTGTTGTATATATTTTTAATTGTCCTATATTGTGTAAGGGAAGTTAAAACCTTATATATATATATGTTTTTAAATGTATCTGCCACAATAATCATAGATAGCCAATGAAAAATTCAATAAGAATTTTGGAGAGAAACTGAACTTTAAAACCCTAAAAGTTTTTTTTTTTTAAATATCTCTTGCCTAGAATTAACTTTGAAAAAGATGTCACCACCTGGAAAAGATGGTGATAGTTCATATTCAACAACAAGAAGTCACTAACAAAGTGCAACATGATTTGGGACTGAGATAATAAGGTGAGCCCGGAGGAAACTGGAACACACATCTCCTGGGCAGGGGTGGGAGGTGCTGAGGGCTACTGTAGGCTGGATACCCAAGCATGTGTACCCAGAGGCATCCTTCTTTCCCCGGCCTCAACCCAGGTCCCAGTGAGCTGTGCCTTAGAATCAATAAAAACTCACAAGGCTGAAGTTCTTTTGGTTCTCCCGGACCCTCTGCATCTCCGGGGTGTCCAAAACGATCTCATAATATGACATGCACTTTTCTGCATCTTCCTTGTACTTTTTCTGGAAATAGATTCCAAGAAATAACGATAGTGAACAACACAGGGATATAGACCAATGGGACCTAAAATAGCCCTTCCTGCTCAGCTTAGGGAAAGGTTTGTTTTTTTGGATTGTTTAAGGATGTTAGGGAGTTGTAAAGCAGAACCCTCTGGATCAGTGAGTACCAGGCCTCCTCTTTGCAGAACTGAGCCCAGGATCCATTGTCATTACCCATTGTCATTTTGGTGGTGGAGAAGAACTGCGGTGTTGGAGAAGACTTGAGAGTCCCTTGGACTGTAAGATCAACCCAGTCAATCCTAAAGAAAATCAATCCTGAATATTCATTCATTGGAGTGACTGATGCTGAGGCTGAAGCTCCAATACTTTGGCCACCTGATACAAAGAGCTGACTCATTGGAAAAGACCCTGATGCTGGGAAAGATTGAAGGCAGGAGGAAGAAGGAGAAGGGGATGACAGAGGATGAGATGGTTGAATGGCATCACTGACTATTCAATGGACATGAGTTGGAGCAAGCTCGGAGTTGGTGAAGGACAGGGAAGCCTGGCATACTGCAGTCCAGCATGCAGAGAGTTGGACACAGCTGAGCAGCTGAACAACAAAGGTGTCAGTGGCTAAACTGGCCAAGCAGAGAAGACAATGGCACCCCACTCCAGTACTCTTGCCTGGAAAATCCCATGGACAGAGGAGCCTGGTGGGCTGCAGTCCATGGGGTCGCAATGAGTCGGACATGACTGAGTGTCTTCACTTTCACTTTTCACTTCCATGCATTGGAGAAGGCAATGGCAACCCACTCCAGTACTCTTGCCTGGAAAATCCCATGGACGGAGGAGCCTGGTAGGCTGCAGTCCATGGGGTCGCTAAGAGTTGGACACGACTGAGTGTCTTCACTTTCACTTTTCACTTTCATGCATTGGAGAAGGAAATGGCAACCCACTCCAGTGTTCTTGCCTGGAGAATCCCAGGGACGGGGGAGCCTCATGGGCTGCCAACTGTGGGATGGCACAGAGTCAGACATGACTGAAGTGACTTAGCAGCAGCAGCAGCAAACTGGCCAAGTGGCCGTATGAGAGAGGTGACAGCCCCTGAGGTTCCTGGCAGCAACAAAGGGATGCCTACAGTAAACTGGATGGAGCCAGAAAAGTAGGAGGGTTGAGAGCTATCAGCAAGGCCTCTTGAATGCCAGTCCTTGGTTGGTGACAAAGATATTGTCACTGAGCTGTGAGCAGGTATGGTTGGGCTCCTGGCTACAGGGGTGAGCCAGCAGGCAGGTCCAACAAGAACTTCCAGGATGAGGCCAGGAAAACTACATTCCCAGGTGTTATGAAGTATAGCCTGGTCAAGCAACTACTGCTTTCTAACTCAATGTTTAGAAGACAAGCAAAAAACTCTGATTTGGGGCTACTGAAATAAATTGCAGGTTCCTGATCAGCAGTGAAGGTTAAAACAAATGAGGATATATCTTGGAGTATGAAGGACATCATAATTTTCTTTATCTCTTTGTAGGAAGAGAGAGAGTTACCCATCAGGAAGAATCAGGGTTAGATTGTATGGTTAGTGTTGATGACATGATCTCAGTCTTGTTAAACTGATAATCAAATGTGGGTGATCAACTTTGTTTTCTTCCAGATTTGCACACAAATTTTACATCCACATTTTAAGAGACTGATTTTTTAACTGTGGGTGGTAACTCATGCCTGTTTGAATGGCCATCATCAGAAAGACAAGTGATAGCAAACAACTGTTGGTCAGGGCGTGGAGAACAGTGCCCCACTGGGATTGTAAACTGGGTTTGCCTCTATGGAAAACAGTATAGAGGACCCACAAAATATTAAAAACACAAGTACCACATGATCCAGCAATTCCATTTCTAGGAATATATCTGAAGGATATAAAAATACTAATTTGAAAAGATACCTGCACTTTGATGTTCATAGCAGCATTGTAATAGTTGAGACATGGAAACAACCTAAGCCTCTATCAATAAATGATGGATAAAAAATGTGGTGTGTGTGTATATATTCAGTTCAGTTCAGTTGCTCAGTCGTGTCCGACTCTTTGCAACCCCATGAATTGCAGCACGCCAGGCCTCCCTGTCCATCACCAACTCCCGTATATATATACATATATATATATATATATATATGTTTAATTGTGGCTGATTTGCATTGCTGTGTGGTAGAAATCAATGCAACATTGTAAAGCAATTACCCTCCAGTTTTAAAAAAAAGTTGGGCTATATATGTACAATGGAATAATATTCAGGCATAAAAACAAAATCCCACCATCTGTGATGACATGGGTAGACATGGAGGGCACAACACTAAGTGAAATAAGTCAGAAAAGACAAATACTGTATGATCTCACATATTTGTGGAATCTAAAATCAAACTCGTAGAAAAAGTGATCAGATTTGTGGTTGCCAGAGGTGGGAGTTGGGGGTGAGGTGGAATTGGAGAAAGGTGGTCAAAAGCGACAAAACTCCACTTATAAAGTAGTAGGGATGTAATGAATAACATGATGACAACTATAGTTAATACTGCTGCATGGTGTGTGAAAGTTAAGAGACTAAATCCTGAGAGTTCTCATCACAAGGAAAAATTTTCTTTTTTTGTTTTCTCTTCTTACTATATGATGGATGCTAATTAAACTTATTGAGGCAATCACCTCACAATTAATATAAGCCAAACCATTACACTTAATAGCTCAGTTGGTAAAGAATCTGCTTGCAATGCAGGAGACCCCAGTTCAGTTCCTGTGTCGGGAAGATTCGCTGGCAAAGGGACAGGCCACCCACTCCAATGTTCTTGGGCTCCCCTGGTGGCTCAGCTGGCAAAGAATCTGCCTGCAGTGTGGGAGACCTGGGTTCGATCCCTGGGTTGGGAAGATACCCCGGAGAAGAGAACAGCTAGCTACTCCAGTATTCTGGCCTGGAGAATTCCAGGGACTTGATAGTCCATGGGATCGCAAAGAGTCAGACATGACTGAGTGACATTCACAAACCATTACACTGTACACCTTAAACTTACACAGTGATACATTCAATTTTATCTCAATAAAACTGGAAAAATAAATTTAAAAAATTATGTGTATGCATGTTTTGTTCCATCTAACAGTNAGTCAGCCGGGCTCCTCTGTCCATGGAATTTTCCAAGCAAGAATACTGGAGTGGGTGGCCAATTCCTACTTGAGGGGTAAAACCCATGTCTCTTGTATTCCTTCACTGGCAGGTGGATTCTTTACCACTGGTACCACCTGGAAAGCCCTTAAAAAATTATGAGTAGAACCATTTTAAGAGTTCTTCAGTACCTTAAAATTCTCTTCTTTATTTTAATTCTGATATAGGAATCTCAGATTTAACTCAAACTTTCATCATAGATGAATCCCTTTTTTACTGGCAAAATTGTGATTTGAAAGGATCTCCTTCAGTATTAGTGGAAAGACTTGTTCTTTGTGATTGGGGTCAATGTGTGATATCCTGATGAATGTCCTTACCTGGCTTGAAAGGTTCTTGACTTGCTGGGCATGAATGATCTCCGGAGTGTCAACCACAGAAGTGAAATTGGCTTTTTCCATTTCTGCTGATTGCTTATACTTAATCTACAAAAGGACCATCCAATAGTTGGGTGAATGTTTACAGTGCACACATTTGTTAGCTCAGTTTGAGTATTAAGTGATTAATATTTCTTTTCTAAAAGGATTCATTATTCAAAATAAAAACAAAAAAGGATTCATTCATCTGCTACTCAACAATTGTTTTTTTTTTTTTTTTCTTGTGTTTATAGCTTTATGCTAAGGAGTGAGATTCGGAAAGAAAGGTTGAGTCCTAGGCTTACTATCTAGTTGATTGGGGAGTGGGCGGGGTGAGGGCTGGTGAGAGTTGTGCAGGGTTTGGGAAAGGAGAAGGAGAGAGATAATCAATGGATAGTAAGGCATTGATTGTTTTTCGAAGAGCTGGGAGAAGGACAGATGAGAGCAGCCCTGGCAAAGGTCCTGGATCCTTTCATCAGAACAGATTCCACCATGCCATTATATGCATCTGACTGTAATTGACCGACAAGTAAGATAATAGAAGGAAAAAACTGTGTTCTTACAATCACCGCTACTTTTTTTTTTTTGAAAGACTGACATGGAACACTCACCTGACTGGCAATATCTGTAGCATTCCTGGCTCTCAGGAAGTCGGGAGTTTCATTGGCCATGGCATTCAGACCTCTTCCTTTGACTTCCAGCTCCAGATCTCTCTTATATTCTTTCTATAGTAGCATTAAAAGAAAATGTTACTTAGCTGTCATAGCAAGATAATAAATGTGCAGAGTGAATATAGATCCACATAACATGCCACCTGCATTGCTAGAGTCACCTTCACCATCCCTGGGGTAGGATGGAGTGGTGACGACAGAAGACCGCTTTAGAAAACTATTCTACTCATGCCAGAGCCTCCTTTGGAGCAATTTCTAGCATTCTCTGCTTAGAACATTAAAGTATAAAGCATATTTTAAATCTGGTTTGGTACATAAATGATTACACTTAGGTGTCCACCACTCCAGTGTGGTGTTTTTATTTAAATGGGCACAACAAATGTATCAAGGTTAAATCAAAAGCTGGGCATAGCCACTATGGAAATAGTTACAATATCAACTCATCAGAAATCAAGATTTTTATGTAATGATTAATAATCATGTTGAACAGATAATCTGAAATTCAAAAACTTTTTATCACTTTTTTTAAAAATGCAACTTGGCTAGGAAGGAGAAGATACTCAGTTGATCCTGTGCATGCAGTTGGCTGGGTGCCCACCTCGTTGAGGATCTGAGTGGCATTCTTTGCTCTTAGCATATCCGGTGTGTCTTCCATTTCACTGAGACCCTTCCCACGGATGCTTTCCTCTAGATCTCTCCTGTACTCTTTCTGTAGCACAAAATACAAGCAACAGTGCTCACAAGAAAGCCTGGAATGTTCCTCTTTGCTGAAAAGTCCCTCGCCAAAATATTAAACCCCAAAACAAACAAAAACCTAATTTCAAACAGTTACAGTTTAGTCAATAAAAAATCAATAAAGGCAGGGCATAAGCTTCATCAGTTAATATCCAATATCAAATAAGAAACTAGAAATTAATAGAATGCTAAGGTAAGCACATTTTACTAGGTATTCAATTAAAAAATTAGGAGAATTAACGCAGGTAATAGATTAGGTGCTAGTATGAAACACATGGGAACCCAACTTGGAACCCAAAAAGTTAGGTGGTGGTGAAAATGGTAGGAATACATTGATGAGTGTCATTAGTGCAATTATTTGGATCAGGAGGGAGAGAAATGACCGAGTGGGCACTACCTCGCTGGCTATTTTGGTTGCATATTTGACATGTAATAGAGCTGGTGTGACCTCCAGGCCAGTCAGGTTTCTGCCTTTAATGGTCTCTTCATATTCTTTCCTATATTCTTTCTAATGTAAGTAGGAAGGAAAGACAAGAAAGAATGTTTGTTACAACTTATTTCTCAACCCTAGGAAGAAAACAATTACATTTTCTTTCTGTGTATGGCTTCTTGATCTTAGTTCTGCTGATAATCACACATTTGAAACATGATTGTTCTGGAAATACGCTGGGTAGAGCAAATTACTCAAGGGAACTTAGAGGCTGAGAACCTTTGGTGGCCTTTCATTTGCCCGTCTACCACTCCCAGGGGGGCTGGCTCTCTGAGAGGGGAAGGACGGATGTATCCCCAAGACTCAATCCATTGTCCTCTCTCTTGATGACACTTTTCTGAAGCAATAAAAGATTCTACTTCTGAATTAGAAGTGACTCAGGTGAAGAAAATAAAAAACCACTCAGAGGAAGGGGACCTTGAGGGCACCAAATGCAAATTTGCCCTTTCTCATAATCACAAGTATTATTCTAAATCACTGAACAAATAAGGTGCATAATGAAGTCCAGAGAGGTTATCAGGCTTTGTTCACTGTTGGGGGGAAGGGCCACCACCTCCCCCATTTCTTAAATCCCTGGATGAGGTTGTATGACTGGGAGGCTTGGAATAGATATTGGGACTTGATTTTTGCCATTTTCAATTCCAACAGAATTTGACATCTACAGAAAAGTAAGAATAGTACAAGGATCTCCCACAGATGCTTTACCCAGGTTTACCAACTGTTTTAAACAATTTAAAATTTTCTGTTATCTGGCATTCTACACACCAGAAAGCACCCCAAACTACTACTTATATTAAAAGCCATTTATCTTTATGGTTGGAGATATGCCTATGGAGGTGAGGCAGAAGAAACCCAAAATAAGCCTGTTTCCTAATGAAGACAGACTTTCTCAGTTTCAAAATAACATTCATTCTTCTCCACTATTGTTTAAAATTTTAATTTTATTTTAGATGCCTCTGCTTACATTTCTAAATTAGGAAAAATGACAGTGACTTTTTTGATATTTTGATAAAAATCCTGGTTAAAAGAAAAAAAAATCTTCCTTTCTGGGACTAGGCTTCCTATTAAGAGAACAATTCAAAGCCAACAGTGGGTCTGCATAGAGGGAACTGATTCAAAGAAAAAATTACATTACATTCAAAATTATTTCAGTATCAGGAACAGTTTGCTATGTCCTAATTCTGTGAAAAGGGTAGTTGAAATAAAACATATATGGTAAATGTTTATTATTCAGAACATTTTTTTATATATATAATGGAACCACAGGATTTGAGATGCGGAAAAGATTTTGGTAATCATATGTTGAAGAATCCCATCATCCACACCTTTGGGATGACAACAGGCTCAACACTTGTTTGCATTAGCGCGATGGTATATTTGCTGCGTGGGGGTTTGTGCTGGACTTACCCCACTCTGCATCTGCTGAGACTCCTTGGCAGTGATGTACGTTGGTGTTTCAAAATCTAGCATAGGCTTCCCTCGTTCCTTTTCGTACTTTTCTTTGTATTTCACCTAGTGATAAAACCCTTATGAGATATCTCTGGCCAATTCTGAGACAGACCAGTTTAACAATAGCATTTTTAGTTGATACATTATGTCCAATTGGGTGGCATCTCATTGCCACTCAAAACAGTTCCCTGTCTGTTTCAGAAAGTAACTTTTTATTTTGGCCTGGCAGGATAACACCATAACTGTCTGCAAGGCATGGTCAGCATTTGTGTTCAATTCAAGGAGACAAAAGGATCACTGCAGAAGAATCAGCCAAGACAAGCATTGAGACAAGGAAATAAACGGGAAAACTGCCCACAGAGAAGGTTCGCCGAGATTTGATGTGTATAGATGTGAATATTTTAGTCTGAGCATCAGCCAATATTTCTAATAAAAATCTTCACTCTTCCCTTGATAAGAACTTTTATCAGGGGCCTGGGGCCTTAATTTAATAGATAATGCATACAACTTTATTTACATATCAGTAACTCAACTAAGGTAATAACTGGTCACATATTCAATGCTACCAGTATAGATTGGTATGAAAATGAAAACCAGTTGATTAGTCATTGACTGAATTGCTAACAAACCTGACATTCTCAAAAAGACCCCAAGGCTATTTTACAAACACAAACTCTTCATCCTCATCACAGGGGCCCAGGAATGGGAGGAGCCTATAGATATCCCTAATTTACACAGGAGACACTCAAAGACAAAAGCGTGGGTCACACAGCATCTTCATAGCAAAGTCCAATCTCAGCTCTCTTGCTTATGACACATTAACATAGAGGTCCAGGAACAGGAGCTGCTTTACAGATGAACTTTACAGATGATGGAAGGCACTTCCAGTAATTCAACCTTCTTGTTAATGCCCAATGGGGAAGGAAATAGCTGAATTTGTGAAATAGAAGGTCATGTGGCAGTGAATTCCTTCCCTGAGTTCTTTCCTGTGAGAATCTTACTTGTATAAATTTTGCAGTTTCTTCCACACCCAGAGACTACTTCAGTGGTGACCTGATCATATCACTCCTCTGCCCCAAATCCTCCAAAGGCTCCCTATCATTCTTAGTAATATTTTCTTTTCTTTTTTTTTTAAAAAAATATATTTATTGATTTATCTGGCTGTGTCAGGTCTTAGCTGCGGCATGTGGGATCTTTAGTTGCAACATGTAGGACCTAGATCCCCAACCAGGAATCAAGCCCAGGGCCCCTGCATTGGGAGCACGGAGTCTTAGCCACTGGACCACCAGGGAGGTCCCACTAATATTTTCTAAGGGGTCTGTCTCCCTGGTGATATAATCTTTATGCTTCCAGTCCCTGTGAGTAACCTGAATAACACATACTGCATGCCTACACACTATTTCTCCAATGTATGTAAATATTGTTATCATTCATAACATGAACATTTGTTTCCACATGTTGCTAAATTCCAAGCCCATAATATCCTTGGGCATTTTCACAAGCAATTGTTGCTACAAGTGTAACTACTGTCCTCTAGGGGAATCCATGAAAACTTTTGACATGGTAGGTGAATGTGCAGGAAAAAAGACAGTCTTGGTCAACTTACGATACTCTGTAATTCTGTGGCCTCTTTTAGATGAAGCTGCTCCAGATTGTCAGGTATTGTGTGGTAGTGGCCTTTACTCTTCTCATAGTTCTTCTTGTACTGGTACTGAGGGGAAGGAGGCCAAAAAAATGCACATTGATGGCAAAGCTGCTCCGCATTCTTATTTTTCTCTTTAGGTTGGATATTTACACAGCAGCAGCATTGAGATCAAATGAAAATTAGCACACACCACATAGGGGGTTATAAAAACATTTTAAAGGATGAAAATACATGTTCAGTATTGTCAGTTAATAAATACAAGGATGTAAGCACTTAGATTATATGGCTTATTCAAAGTAGGCTTTTAAGAGTGAAAAGTTGAAAGAAACTATTCCAAGTGTTAAGTCTATGTTTTTAGGAGGAGGAAAGGGAGTGGGTAATTGGGAGAAAAGGAAGTTAAAATATTCCCCAAATAGAAGCATTTTTATAATCTGAGAGATGTTGCAGTCCGTGGAGCACTGGTAGATTAATATTGTCATTTGGAAGAATGCACTCAGAGAATAGACATGTTTTCGGTAGCGGAGGAGGAGATGCATGTGACCTCAAAGAAGGGATTTAGCTGTAAATGGGTGAAACAAGCTGTTTTTGGAGCAAACGATTGAGCTTACAGAGCTGGCAAGGTGGCTTGTATTCAAGACATGGTTCATTATCAGAGATTCCTTCATGTCAGTCACAGGTTTGTGAAGTTTCTTCAAATCAGCCTTATACTTAACCTGTGCCACAGTAAGGGGGAAAAGGAAATCATATAAATAGGAAATGGAAAATGGTACTAATGAAACCATAATAAGATATCTCATCCTGAAAGAAATGCTGGAAATGCTGATAAAAAACCATAACTCATTTATAATAGCCAAAAACGGGAAACAAGTATCCATTGACAGATGAAGGGACAAACACAGAGTGATATACACATAAAGTGGAATACTATTTAACCATAGATAGAATGAAGTTCTGACATACACTATACATCACGGATGAACCTCGAAAACATTGAGCTAAATGAAATAAGCCAGATCAAAAAAGGACCAATATTACATGATTCTACTTACATGAAATCTCTAATAGGCAAATTTATAGGGACAGAAAGTAGATTAGAGCTTACCAGGGCTTGGTGGGAGAGAGAAATGGAAAGTTCCTGCTTAATAGTTACAGAGTTTGTGTTTTGAGGTGATGAAAAAGCTTTGGAACTAATAGTGGTAGTTGGACAACATGAATGTAATTAATGCCACTGAATTACATATTTCAGTCGCTCAGTCGTGTCCGACTCTTTGTGACCCCATGAATTGCAGCATGCCAGGCCTCCCTGTCCATCACCAACTCCTGGAGTTTACTCAAACTCATGTCCATCGAGTCAGTGATGCCATCCAAACATCTCATCCTCTATCATCCCCTTCTCCTCCTGCCCCCAATCCCTCCCAGCATCAGGGTCTTTTCCATACTTAAAAATACTTAAAATGGCAAATTCATATTATATATTTTACTACAGTTAAAGAAGCACATACCTCACTTGCAAGATTATTAGCATCTTGCATGACTTTGTAGAGCTGGCTATCTTTTGGATTGTATTTTGGTGTCTTGCCCTTCTCTTTGTTGAAATTTTCTCGGTATTTAACCTAATAGCAAATGCAAAAATCCAAATTATTCCTGAATGTCAGTTTATTTGAAGGCTGAGGAACAGGGGAAATGTAAGTGCAAAAGAATATATGTTACGCATAAAGTGATCATATAATTTATTATCCAAAGTAGGCCACTTTTAAGAGTAAAAGGGAGCATTATTAATAATTATGTAGAGACAACAGGCAATTGAATATAAGAACAAATGACATAGTATTTGTTTTGCTCATTTTTATATTATCCAGGGGTATGAAAGATTCACTTCCTTTTGATGCAAGACAAAAATGCATGGGAAAAGGCTTCTGGCTAAATTCAGAGACATGATCTAATATATTTGATTTGAAGCATTTCAGTCTTCCTAACTAGCAAAACCAAAAGCATTTTAGGTCTATTACCAGGAGTTCAAAGAGGCTTTATAAATGATCAAGATAGCGAGAGGTAAGGAATCTGCTGAATTTAGGAGAATTTATTATTTTGTACTTTAGCTATATCATTTTAATTTTAATTGGCAAAATATTGGCATAACTTTTGAGTAAAAGAACAGAATTTGGGGGTTAATGGTTTTGATATAATTTCAGGTTAGAAGGAGGAAAGAAGTGAGATAAATTTAACATAAAGAGAAAAATAAGATTAAATATATTTTACTTGCAGAATATATATAAGAAGATGCAAAGGATTAAATAAATTCAATTTAAAAAATAAGTGCGATGCCTGGCACTAATAGTTGCTTAATAAATGTGATTTGATTGATGAAAGAGAGAGACAGTCATAATGCCTAAGCAAAATAGCTAAAGATGAGATTTACTTATAGGAATATTCAACAGAATAAACTGAAAGTGACAGAAACACTTACTTATTGAAGAACAGACTGATTCCTTTGACACTAGGATTAACACCAGAAATAGAACCCTACTAGTTACTTATTCTGGGCTTCCCTGATAGCTCAGATGGTAAAGAATCTGCCCGCAATGCGCGAGACCTGGGTTCAGTTCCTGAGTTGGGAAGATTCCCTGGAGGAGGAAATGGCAACCCATTCCAGTATTCTTGCCTGGAGAATCCCCATGGACAGAGGAGCCTGGCGGGCTACAGTCCATGGGGTTGCAAAGAGTTGGACACAACAGAGTGACTAAGCACAGCACAGTTACTTATTCTAGGAAGAAAGAAAAATGAGCTCTTTCTAGATGTTAGCCAGCTAAAAGGACAATATTTGATGCTCTGGGACACCTAGAGTTTCTGTTGTTGGTAAAATGAAAGACTTGCTCATTCAAAGTTAGCACACCAGAATCTGGTTGCCCAGATATTTCACACCATAGACACTTAAAATCAGTCCCCTCATGCTTCATCACTTTCTTTCCCCACGACTTTCCACATCCAGCAGGACAGGCACAACAGGAGGCCACTCGAGTGCTAAGAACAATGAAGTCTGCCACATTAAAGGAAAAGCATTCACGGTGCTAAGACATTTCTTTTGAACCAATCTCCAGTGAAAATGCACAGACAAAATAAGCATGCAGAGCAGTAGAGCAGGATGCGGGCACACTGCGTCAGACACACAATGGAGGAAGCAGAAACAGCAGAACAGAAAGACACAACATAAACAAATGCTACAATGGCTCTTCTCTGGAAGGAAATTCACCCCCCAAATAAAATGAAAAGCCTGCTAAAGAAAGTCAGACGTGGTGAGCTGGTGTCTGGACCAAGAGAGAACTTTTCCTAAGGATACAGAAGCCCTAAGAATAGGGCTTATCCCAACAGCGGAGAAACACAGAAAAGCAAAGTCAGGTAGATGTGCAGAGGCAAGACTGGGGAAGAAAAAATGCAAAGGCCCATGTCTGATGCGAATAAAACCCATTTCTTTAGAAGAGTGCTAAAAACCCTCTATCTTTTAGAAAATAACTCACATCTGAAAAAAGTACTTGAAGAGCAGCTTTCTACTGGCCTTTCAGTTCATTTTTCTTCTGTTAATTTTAAGCAGATTTAAATTTCTAACTTTTTAATTAAAAAGTTGTGCCTCCTCTTTCCACAAGAAGGCCCCAAGCAAATGCAGTCGAGCATAACTACTGCCAGGAATATGAGCCACCACCGTCCAACCTTCCTTTTTGACTGAATCTTCTTAAGTACTACTCTATTTTGCATGATAAGGACACATATCAGATTCAGGACTTCAAGAATTCTTAGAAAGGTGTGGGATTAGGTGGGAAGTACAGTACCCACATTCATGCAACATGTGGAATGGAAGAGCCTTCTTTCTCTTGTTTACCAGGGAAATCTGAGATGCAGGGCCGTGTTGCAAATGGCAACATCAGGGGTTCAGAGAGTGTGGGAAAGAGGTTTTCAGTCAATTTTTTCAAAGTTCAATTGAATACAAAGATCTAACATCCAGTTCTGTTTCTTTGCAGAGACTTGAACAGGACAATAATATTGGCGCTTCTAAAGACTATAAGAGCAGGTTCAAAAATTAGAACATTTCTTGCTATTGAGACTATAAGACATAGGGTGAAAACTACAACTGAAAACATTTTGAGCAGTTTATACTGTTGATTTGGAGTATGTCTGAACTGAGAGACCATAGTAAATAACCAGTCTTATATGTATTAAATGCCAATGACAATCATCAGCAGAGGCTTTCTTTCTGTGGTTGGAGATAAGATGCACAGTCTATTTTCACTTCATCCTTTGATCAATGTAAACAGCCTGAAGAGGTTAGTAGACCATCTCAAAACTACTCTACCTTCCTACTCTGGAGGTATGTTCCAGGGGGAACGTTTCATGCAGAAAAAGATGGGTGTGTGCAAAAGTATATCGCCTGACAAATTTCCACAGCATTCTACACATTCCAACACAAGACCAACAGGAGAAGAGTGCATCTTGGTCAGTCCCCTGACCAAGGCTAAGAAGGTAGACAAGAGAAAGAGGAAGACAGAGATACGGGCTTGCTGGTGCTGGTCTTACATCACTGATGAGCACATTAGTTCTCTTAAGCTGCCTCATCATAGGGGTGTCATAAGATGCGGCGCCGTGCCCGTGCCCTCTCCTTTGGCCTTTGATGTATTCCACCTAGAGTGCCAGCAAGACAGCAAAGTCAGAATGGGCAGGGCCCACCAGATGGGGTCTCCTGGACCAGAGGCCTCACCAGGAAGCTGTCAGTCCTGAGGAAGCCTTTCCCAGGAAGTAATCCCAAGAAGGGGAGCTCATAACACCACCTGGTCGGGTGTCATTCTTCACATCACAGGATTCACCTGAAGTTAGAAATACAGGCCTCGCTCTTTTCAAAACCAGCGAAGTCTTCAAGATTTCAACTTGTTTTTAACTTGCTAATAATATGAGCTTGGAGATTTAAAGACACATTAAAAGTGTTTTAAATCGAAAAGTTCTTGTTACATTTAACTATTCTTAGAGATTCCACTACTTTTTGTGAGTGATTTCATATCTTTGTTTCAAGTATTTATACCATTCCATTAATTTGTAATAAAAATAATGCATTGGCATTTTAAATTTAAAAACTTAAAAAAAATCATATTTGCTTATCATTCAACATCTGAACATTTTGCAGAGACATTTTGTCTCTTCATAATTCCCATTTCTTTTGTTACCTGACATTACTACTTATATCTTCCAAAAGATTGGGATTCCATGTTTGGCATGGCTGTAAGGCATATGTACAACCACCAACCGTATCCTAAACCTATTTCTTCAAACAAATACTTGAGAAAACAGTAAAGAAGAAGAAGATAAATAAATATTAAAGAAAAAAAAGAAGAGGAAGGCAGGATCTCTGAATTGGAGAAGAAATAAGATATTCTTGAGCTCGTCCTTCTGGAGTAAAACTTGCTCTCTGAAAGATCTGGTGGTTGATCATGGAGTCTCTGATCTAATGTCTGAAAACTTGTCATAACTCAGGAGTATTCTACATAATTAGTCTAACAAGGGAAATTAGGTAATGGGGCAATCAAGTTTGGGCACATTTCTGAGTCCACCTTCTCATTAATATGAAATCTGCTAGCATTAGGCATTCCCCCTCAGCTCCCTGTGCATACCTCAATCAGACACAACCCCAAATTGTAATTATTTATCCGTAGACATAGAGTCTGAGGACATTTATTCCCCCTAGTTCCTAGCCAAAGCTTTCAATATATGTTTGTTAAATAAAAAAGTTAAAGTGACTGTATCTGATAGAAATTTTCAAAGCTTTTCGTGATATAATTTTCAAAGCCCTGAGTGCTATCAAAGACCCTGTATCTCTTTGATCACTAATACTGCACTTTCTTCCTGGGAATCACTTTTTCCTGCAGGGTTTCTAAACATCTCCTCACATTAGAGCAACTGCTTGCCCACGTGTGTTACCTGGCTGCTCAGCTTGGCTGCCTTCTTGGCCATTTCAATGTCAGGGCGACCAAGCATGCTGAGTCCATGGCTGCCTTCCTTGCGGTGCTTGGCTCTGTACTCCACCTGAATCAAAGAAAACCCAAATGGACAACATGTTCTAGGTAGCCGGCGCCTTGTACTACCTGCTCGCGATGCATGGTGGACTGGCAACGTTTTAACCACCCACTTACCTCGCTGGCCTGTTTGGCAGCCTGCGTGGCCTTCTTGATGTCTGGCCGATCGGCCACTGTGGTGTAATGCAGGTTTTCTTTCGCATCTTTTTTGTAAGCAACCTTCATTTGGAGAAAGAAAACATTTGCTCATTTGAGAGACAGACTTTCTGAAGGGAACCTTTTTGATTAAAACCAAATCAATCCCACCACCACATATTTTAAACCACCAGATATAGAAATTAGGGTGACCCCTCACTGGGCCCAGGCCAGCATGCACCAGCGTGGGATCCCCTGGTGCAGGTGGGCCCCAGAGAGTGAGAAGAGGAACTCACGTTACTCTGCTTCTTGGCCACGTCCATGGCGTGTATCACATCTGGGGGCTCCAGCATGATGGAGTAGTTGGATTTGCCTTTCTCCTTGACAAACTTCTTCTTGTAATTTGTCTGAAAAGAGCCAGAATTACTTAGGTGAGGAGGGGAAGTCAGGAACAGAATTGTTTTACTTGAAGAACTGTGAGAAAATCTCAAGGAAAATCCATTGTTCCCCATTTTGCTGTCATTTTGGAACTGGGGTGTCTTGTCCGTATTCTAGTTCTTCTCTTTCATTTCTGTCCTGGTACCTGACATTGAGCCACATACCAGTCTTTAAAGAACGAGTTACAAGCAAAGCAAACTCTTTCATTCATCTTTTTAAAATAAAGGGAACCTTATAAGGCTCATAAACACAAATTATTAAATATATTATTTATTATAAATACATGATACAATAATAAATACATGATTATTAAAGGATTATCCATAAGGATGTAGTGGGCAGAGATGAGGGAGATATGAAGACGTGATTTTGATTCTCTAAAATTGTTCAGCAGTTTAAGGAGGAGAGAGATGATGAGAAAGACAGATTTTCACTATCAAAGCTTCCTCCCTTTATTACCACTAGGGTAGTGATATCTTTATTGCCAGACAAGACATCTTTTGGTAAAACCCATATCTGCCACAGTTGGCAAAACTGGAAAGGCAATAAATATTGAGTCTTTATTATCATTACTATTTTTGGTTGCGCCATGTGGCATGCAGGATCTTAGTTCCCCGACCGGAGATCAAACTCTGCATTGGGAGCATGGAGTCTTAACCGCTGGACCACCAGGGCAGTTCCTACTGAATTGTGTTTTAAGCCAGCGTTCAAAGTTCACATATAGGTACTGGCTATGAGTGAAGTGACGTAAAAGAAAGTGTGTGTGAGCAAAAACATGACTTTCAGTCTTTTGCTGGATGCTAAGGTAAAGTGGCATTGCTGCGGCCAAGAGTCCTGGGGCTGGGCGCTTACATCACTGACGTTCTTGGTCACTTCTTTGACATGAATAGTGTCCCGGGTCTCTGGCAGCGTCGTGTACGAACCCTGCGCCAAGTGCTTCTTCACATACTGCTTGTACTTGTTCTGGGAAAGCACAGAGAGCTTGTTACAGTGCCGGCCTGGGGCATCAGCCCGGGACAGAAGGCGAGCATATGGGCTGCCGGAGGGGTACCTCTGACACCAGGCCGCTGACTCTCTTTGCCAGGAGGATCTGTGGCGTGTCAGGCACGGCATGGCAGCTTCCTCTTTCCTTGACGTGTTTCTCTTTGTATTTCAGCTGCAGGGGTGAGAAAAAGGCATTTCTTCAGCTCCTCTGAGTCTCCTGCATATTTTTTATCAAGCTCCTGAGTTACTAAATAGAGCTGGGAGAGTAGTGTCATTGACGTAGTTAGAAACAAATTAAATTCAGTATAAGATTTGATGTTTAGAAATCTTGGAAAATACCAAAAAAAGATTTTCTTTATCTCGTGCAAGCTGAGGCTTTAATAACAATCAGAATGAACATTATGATGAATCTTTATATATGCAGCTTTAGTTCAGAGCACTTTGAAATGTCATTGGACCCTCCCCCAAGCCCTGGGAGGCATTATTAGTCCTCCTTTCCAGCTGAGGAAATAGGAAGCATAGGAAGACTGTGACCCCACGAAAATGAGTATGTTCCCTTATACAGTCCAGCCAGGCCCTCAGATCCCCAGTGCTGGCTGGGAGGGCTGGCTCATGGAGCCTCTGTATCAGGCCCGGCCACCTGACTGTAACAGCTTCCCGCTGCTGCCACCCTGCTCCGCCAAGTCACTGCTGTGGATGGGGTCAGCAGCCCTCCCCAGTCCTGGGTGCCCTGGGGACTGGGCTTCAGAAGGCAGCCCTGCGTGAAGCCAGGCCTCTGGGAAGGGACCACATGCTTACATCACTTTCGATTATAGAATTCTTCAGGGCCAGCACCATGTCTTTATCATCCGTGACGGAAAGCTTGCAACCCTTGAGGTACTCTCGGTCCAGCTTGTACTCAAACTATAACAGAAGAAAGGCAGAGGAAGCTGGAAAAGGGTTCCAGGCACAGGAGCCAGCTGGTATCTGGTTAAATTCCTAGGGAGTCTTCTTCTTGAGGGCACTATGAGGATTTGCTGCCAGGATAGGGGCAAGGGTTTCCTGGCTGGGTCCACCGCAAGCTGAGCTCCTCCTTGCCAGCCCCAGGGTCAGGACAAAGCTTTCCTGCTCCTTCCCTGCCTCCCTCAAGAGCCATTATTGTTTGGGCTCAGCCATGTGAGACCAAGCTGTGTGGCCAGGTCTACTTCCTGAGCTTGCCTCTCACACTTCACAACCCTCCTGTCCTTGGATCTCAGACGAGCTAGGGTTAACACAGTGATAGCGGTAATTATGGATAATGAGGAACGTTTCTGCCCTGGGTATGTCATGCAGTTCTGTCTCTCTTATCTCACATCGCTCTGCTGCAGGGTCGACTTTGCAGCCTGGATGAAGTCTGGGCGGTCAGGGGTCCATTTCCAGTAGGCTTTGGTGGCTTCATACTGCTTCTTGTAGTCCAACTGTTTTTAACAAGATAGAAACAGGTCAGTTCATCAAGTGGCCTGAATTCACACCCACACACGCAGCACAGAGGGACTCAGCTTGCATTTTAACATTTAACAAATCACGGTTCTTTATGCAAGAAGAGAACCCCAGTTTAAATTTCTATACAATTTGCGCAAATAGTTTTGTCATCCTATGGGACCCCTGGGCCTCAAAATAGAAGCTAATAATTGCTAAAGGTTCCAGATGAAATGATTTTTCAAACTAACTCTGCCAGGGCAGTTTAATTATTTTGAGTCAAGTCCTTTTAACTTCTAACTAAATTCAGACAACTTTTAAAAAATTATTAAACATTTTTTATTTTCTGCCAGGCACTTCTCAAAGTGCTTCATAAATATTAACTCATTTAATCTTCATCACAACTTCATTAAATCAGCAGCTGAGGAACTGTCCAGAGGGGCTAAGTAAGCTGCCCAGGTAAGACAGCTAGGGAGCAGTGGATCTCAGGTTTAAGCCCAGGCAGCCTGACTTCATAGGGCGTGTATACTTGCTAGGTTTGCGTTTGAGCTGGAGAACTGGCTACCTCAGGCTGAGTCTGAGGAATAGAGTGTATGTAATTTCATTTGAGTGTCCTTGCCCTCACTATCAGCCACATTTCTTCACTCTTTTTGTCCTCCTTTTTCTTGGTCAATATATCATTTGTGTACAGTAAGATACACATGCTTTCATATATTAATTTTGATCAAATTTTTTCCATTTCATTGTGAAAATTTTCAAGCACATGGAGAGTTGCCAAAAAAAAAAAAGTTGCATGAATCTTACAGAGAATACCCATATACTCAGCACCTAAATTTTACAATGTACATTTTACTACGTTTGCTTTGTCCCACATCTATTCTGCTACTTATCTCTCTGTCCATTCTCAGGACACCTGTAAGCTCCCTGTCAGCCCCTAAAGGCATTTCAGTTTGTTTACCCTAATAAATACAACTCTCTGTGGCACTAGTGGTCACAACTTGGATCTTATAATCTTTAATTATATAACCACATATATTTTTAAGAAGTCAATACTTATCTAAATGCACAAAAAATGTTTCTGTGGTTGAGGCCTTAAGATGCCCCAAAACACACAAAGAAGAATTGGCACAGAGAGGCGTGAGCAGGAGGAAGGTCTAGGTCAACTCCTGACAGCATCAAGCAGCTCAAGTGTTCTCTTTTTTCAGAAGAAGCAGGCTCCAGAGTTTGAAGCAGGAGAACAACAAAATGACTGGAGACACTTTCAAAATTGTAACCTTCATTTCAGAATTAAACTCCCATTTCTCAGTATCCTGACACAGCAGCTGAGTGGGTACAACATCCATGGGCCACCCTTGCTTTTTCCCACCTTTCCCTGGTGAGAACCACAGGAGCATTTAGAGGTCAGCGTTATCACTTATGCGCCGGGACCCAGCCCTTGATCTGGAGTCACTAGAATGCAACCACCTGAAGTGATGCCAAAAGAGGTCATGTGTCCTACAGATGCTGATGAACCCCTGTTAGATTTGGGGACTTACATTGGTGTTGACTTTGTAGGCATCCTTGGCTGCCTTGATATGAACAGCATCTGGCTCAATGGTACAGTTGGACTTAGTTCTCTGGTAAACTTCTTTGTATTTCAGCTGCAGGAGGAAACACAGGTTAATTTTTTAAAGCAGCCCACAAGTGTCTTTTAAAAAAAAAATTAAAACTGTAACTATAGTACACAACGCTTCTTAAGACTGAATACATCTGTTGTGAAGAAATGATGCAGCCATCGCATCTAACAGACATGCACTTATCCTGTCTCAGGTCTTAGAGTCTACCCCTCAGGACACATTGCGTCTGTTCACTGAGTTACCATAGAATTTATGTCCTCTGAGCTTGTGCTGAAAAGAATAGCTGGATAGCAGTCTATGTGTTTTCTCTTACCCAGATCAGAAACTCGAGTCTAGAACATCTTGAAAACCACTGATGGAAGACAAGACTTCCCCCAGTGGCTCAGCCGAATGGGGTCAGGCTTGTCCTTCCACACCCCTGTAGTTGTAGCTGTTATCATTTTATGTTGTAATTATTTGTCTACTGAGCTGAATCCTTTGCGGGCAAAGTTGTGTATCATTCAGTATTTCATTCCCAGCAGCAGGCACTTAACAGACAACATATGAGCTCAGTCACTCAGTCGTGTCTGACTCCTTGCAATCTCATGGACTGCAGCCTGCCGGGCTCCTCTGTCTATGGAATTTGCTAGGCAAAAATACCAGAGTGGGCTGCCATTTCCTCCTCCAAGGGATCTTCCTGCCCTGGGGATGGAATCTGCGTCTTCTGCATTGGCAGGCAGATTCCTTACCACTAGTGCCACCTGGGAGACCCCCAAGGAACCAAATAAATATTTAATGAATCAATATACTGATGGATGAATGCTGTCATCAGTATTACCATTGCTAGAGCCACCACTAGTGAGTTTTGGTGGGAGAGGGAGAAACAGGGAAGGCTTAGCCTCTGTGAGCCCAACTGGTCATTTTTTCACCTTGAGCCTGGAATTTCTAGCTTCACCCATTTTTGCTCCTTTTAAATTTCAGGGCCCTGAGGCCTCATCTGGGCCTTCTCACTAATTATTGCAGAAGGATCTTAGGTCTTAACATGGTTAAATCTGAAATAAAACTGTCCAAAGGAAGCCACAGTAGTGCTTATTAAATTTGCCTGATCAAGTGAATCACAATTTTCTGCGCTTTTTCATAAATGTAGCAAATCAGTAGCTTTAGGGTTCAGGCCTGGACATCCATATTTTTCATCAGTTCGGGTTATTGTTATAATCAGAAAGCTTAAGGAAATGGATGCAGAATTGCTTCATTTTTTTTTTTTTCCACTGAGAGAGAATGGGCTGCTCCACATAGGGGATCTACCTTATAGATGTTTATGAATACCTAATGTTTATGTTTGAAGTGCCAAAACTTATTTTTATATGAAAAATATAATAAGTATTTTTAAATGATTTATATATTTCTGCCTTCATAAACAGTGCACGGATATATTTAACATTTTTCTAGGCAACTCAAAGTCAATAGTGTGAACCAATTTGTTTATCTACCAAAGAACTCCTGAGCACCAGCCTCAGTCAGGGCTTTGGGGTAGGGATTTCCACAGTTGCTTTTACTATTCTTTATGATGCGATACCCACAAAGCCATGGAGTTCTTTAACATATTAATCTATTTGTTACCCCAAATGCAAGGAGGTCAAACCAGTCAATCCTAAAGGAAATCAACCCTGAATTTTCAATGGAAGGACTGCTGCTAAAGCTGAAGCTCTAATACTTTGGCCACCTGACATGAAGAGCTGACTCATTGGAAAAGGCCCCAATGCTGGGAGATTGATAGCAGGAGGAAAAGGCGGGGGACAGAGGATGAGATAGTTGTACAGCATCACCAACTCACTGGACATGAATTTGGGCAAACTCCAGGAGACAGTGAAGGATAGGGAAGCCTGGCATGCTGCAGTCCAGCGAAGAACTGGACACAACTCAGTGACTGAACCACCACCCCCAAAATGATGACAGTTTTCCACCACAGAATCTAGCGATGTTTATCAAAATATATGGATATAATTTCTACTCAAATTCAAAGTATTAGGATTTAATGGCTACCTTGTTCCTCTCAGCAGAGATGAAGCTTACAGAGTCCTCATAGAGTTTATGGCCCACTGCATTTTTCAAATGGTCTCAACAATATCCTTCTACGCTACATGCTTTTCTGCAGTGTGACCTTCCCATTTGTTCACCCAGAGGAGGCCTGTCTCTCTTCACCCCTTGAATCTAGGTGTGTATACTCTGCCCAGCAAAATAATGCAACAGTGACTCTGTGTCAGTTCTAGGAGTAGCCCTCAATGGGCCTGGAAGCTTCTACTCCAGCCTCTTAGGACACATCCACCACGCTGTGAGACAGCCAAGCCACAAAGGCCGCGTATAGAGGTTCCTGTCTGTACAGTAGCTGAGTGCCCAGCCAGGCTTGATCAGGTGCCGGCGCTGGGAGCAAACAGCTCCTGGCAGTTGTGGCTTTCCTGAGCTGCCGCTGTCTGCCAGCACACGTAATACAGCATCTGCTCGGCTGTGCCCAGCCAGCCCACGGAATGCTCAGCAAAAAAGATGACTGCGGTCTCAAACTGCTACAATTTAGATCGACTGTTACACAGGTATAGATAATTGGTCCTGGGTTTGTTAACTCACACTAGAAAGAGGCCAAGGTGAGAGGGGCTGCAAAGCCACCCCGGTACTTACATCACTGACTTCATCTTTGACCTTCCGGACATGCAGCAACATGGGCGTGTCGTGAATCGTGGTGTAGCCTCTGGGTTTCGCTTTGTTGTATTCCAACTTATACAGTATCTGAAAGAGATGTCACGGCAGAAAGGGCCAACGTTCTGCATCTCAATTTATATTGCAATGTGTGTAAAAATATAAAGGGAGCATTGTTGCTATTGCGGTTGAGTACACACAAAGGAGAGAGAGTCCCATAGACTCATCAGGTTTTCACGCTTTCTGCAAGCGCTCTCAACGCGCCCGTGCCTCTACAATGGGCTGTCTGCTGATTTGGCTGGGATGATACTTTACTCTAAAAGAAGAGTCCTGAGCACAGTAGGACATTCAGTGTCCCCCCTCCCTCCCACTAAATGGCGGTAGAGTCTTCCAAACAGGTGACCATCTAAAATGCCCTTCCACACTGGCAAATACCCCCAAGGTCAAGAAACCACTCAGTGCTCCCCGTACTTACATCACTGATTTGTTTGTTGACTTTTGTAGTACGTAGGTGTTCTGGAGTATCCACAATTGAGGTAAACTTGTCCTTTGTTTCTTCATAATTCTTTCTGTACTTGATCTAAGTCGTAGAGGAGAAGAGCAAGTCAACTTGAAGTAGGAGAGGGCCATCAGGGACTCTAGCTCTCCTTTTGAGACAGTCCCATGGAAAACAACAGGATTATTATATATATATCCCCATAGATGTGGGGGATGATGCCATGCTTTCATATTAAATCTTTTTGATAGCAATAGAGTAACAGAGTGAGAAAATAATAATAAGAATAAAATGATAGCTTCCATATATCATGTGGAAACTGAGCCCCAGAGAGGTTAAGAGGATAAGCTAAGGGCATGTGTAGAGTGAAATCTCAGAGCCAGGCCTAGACCCATGCTCTCTGGAGTCTCACAAATAATGATTCACTCACAGTAAGCTGCATCAAATATATATTTTCTTAAGCTATGTTTTCATATCAAAGATGAAACAGATGAAAAAGATGAATACATACAGTTCAAAGCAGTTATTCTAAAAGACATTCACTTTTGAAATTTTCAAGTCATGATTTTTTTTTTTCATGCACATAAGCAGTTTCAAGCAGACACAAAGAGCGCAGCAAAATTCCATGCACAGCTATCTGATGATCACATCAAGATGAAAAGTTCAGGCAAATAGTATGTCCATTGGAAGGCATTCTCATTTCATGTGCGGGTCTGATATCAGACTAAAGTGATAAAACAAGTTGCTAATACAAAAGTAAAGTGATAAAACAAGCTGCCAATACAAAAGATTGATTAAAAACTTTTTTGGGGTGTGGAAACAATGGCATTTTATTAACATTGTATCTGGTAGTTAGGTAATGACCACTGTCTTTTTTTTTTTTTTTTTTTGCTGCTTCAAATTTACCTTTCAACATATGATGGAAAGGTGATGGAGTGTGCTTCAGATGACCTTGTAGGAAGGCAAGGTGATCAGTAGTATTGTTAACATGTGTGCATGAGGACAGATGTGCTGAAATAACCTAACAAATACAGTATCAAACACAAGAGGGACCATGAATATGTCCAATATTCAAAGAGCTGCACCATCATCCTCATCTCTCCAAAATGGTAGAGTAGTCATTAGAAAGCAATGTACACATTGGATGAAAATTTTAGATATTCAGACCTTTTAAATATGGTCAAATTTAACTAAGATCCTTATCTCTAAGAAATCTATTTCTTTGGGGCAAACAGTGAAAAACATAAGCTAATGTCATACCAATTTGGAAAACTTTGGCAGTTTGAAAAAGCCTCAGTCTTACTAGGAGTTCCAAAGGTGTCAGAAGACAGAGAGATGCTGGCCACTGCGGCACTGTGCTCGGCCACATCCAGAGGTAATTGGCAGGGAGTGGATGTTTATGCAGCTTTGTCATGGGAAACCAGCTTGGGCAGGGGGCAGGGAAGGAGACCAGGGAAAGCTTAAAGATGAATGCCCCCAAGGCTTCTCAGTCTCTTCTTCCCATCTCATCAGACATTACCTGGCTCCACATGTATGTGTTGTAGAGGGCAGTCAACATATCTGGACGCAGGATTTCATTACATCCTTGTTTCAGAAGCATCTTGGCACTAGACTTATATTTTCTCTGTTCATGCAAAGAGCAGTGAAGCACAAAAGAGACTTATGAAGACAGAAAAGAAGACAGCTCTATATCCCCATCACCTCTGAGTGAAGAGATGTAGGCATACAAACTTTGTGTTCTCATGTGTATGTGTGGGTGAAGACACCAAATGCATTATAATGCCAAGCAGGCTGACTGTCAATTTGCAGGTGACCATCAAAGCCTTTGTGAATGGGCGATAACAGAGCTAGACCCACCAAAATTGCCTCATAGAAAAGATGACATCATCGGAGTAGAAAAATACAGTAAGGAGTTCTGTCTTCTTTCCATTAATTTGTTTCTTTGTTTCTGCATTTGCACCTTAATTTGCACTTTGCACCTGCAGTTGACACACAGGCCCTCCAGAAGGATGAAGGGTGGAAGGACCCGGCTGTGCATCGCCTCTTCACCGCCGCACACATGAGGACACAGAGCGTAGACTGGCACACTCAAAGAGCTCGTGGGCTCTTTGGGTGGCTAGACAGATACTCTGGAACAGAACATCCCAATATCATAGGCAGAACCTATGACATCCTTGCAGCAGACGGGACGACATCTCATGAGAAACTGGAGCGCAGTCCTGCTTGGCCATCCAGGCGGCCCCATCACAGTACCTGACTAATCTGGTCGCCTGCGGTCTTAGCCAGCAGATGTCTAGGCTCATCGACTACCAGGTGGTATTTATCTTTCCGCTGCTCATAATCAGCTCTGTATTTTTTCTGCTCAAACATCATATCAAATTATAGCAAGAGTACAATTTCAAGGCTGTATAGAAATGTCCCAAGATAAACACTTCAGAGAGCCAGAAACGTGTCCTTTCTAGAGGTGGGCTCCCAAAGCATCCAGGGTAATGAAATCAGGAAGGAAAGAGATCAAAAGAAGATCACCTGGAAAAGGCTGGGGCTTGGGCTAGATCAATTATGATACCCAAGTGGAAGCACCTTATGCCTAAAATGTCCCATCTTTATATATGATGTAATTAGCAATGTTGGTTTTATGATATCCTATATTGTATTTATAATAAGGCACTGACTAGCTATTGGCTTACTACTTAGTGCTGGTAGAATCAAAAGCATATTCATGGACACATTCTAATGCTAGTTAATTTATCTTATTATAAAAGAGACCTGGAAATACTTTATGAGTTAGAAAAATAGAAACAAAATATGTCAAGACTGTCTTCCTAAGAAGTTACTGATAGTTTCTTCAGAGTCATCCCATCTGGAAATCTACTGAAAATAGAGCAAATTTAAAAACAAAAAAGAAATACATTGAAATAAATATACCATTGGCTATACTTTCATTTTTTAGATTCATTTTACTAATTTTCTAATGTTTTTGAATTTATGTAAATCTGTAGAAAATATAAAGACAGGAAATTAAATGTAAAACCATCCAAACATATGTTAATTCATAGCTTGCTTATTTCATCATTTTAAGCTAAATTTAACTTAAACTATTGCAAAGTCAGTTCCACAAAAAACTGGGTAGAAGACAGAGGAATATCTCAAGTGCAAATGGACACTTCTGTGCAATGTGTGAGTAACTGTGGCAGTATGTCTGAATGTGTGAATCACAACTACATGATTAGGGCTGCCATTTCTGGGCCTTGGTAAGGGATACGAAATTAACTTTGAACTTATAGGTCTCCCAACTCTATAGAGAATCCTGCTGAAGGGAGTTCGGCTGAGAGGCACCCAAAGGGCTGTGCTGCCCCACGCCAGTGTCGGCAGAGGCCGTGCTGTGGGGCCGCACTCCACTCTGCACAGGCCCTGCATTTGTTCTTATTCCTGCTTTTGGCAGAGCCCATAACGCAGGGATATCATAAGTGTCTTCCCAAAGACTCAAAGGCTTTCCTGTCATTTTATGTGCTGCATGTTAATCAAATGTCACTTATAGACTACTAAGGGAAGTTAATAGGTTTAACCGGATCAGGTCATACGTACCTCATTCATTAGTTGAGTCGCAAACTTGAAATGCCTATTGATTGGACAATCAGCAACATACTTGAAATTTGACTTTGTCCTTTCAAATACCTCTTTATACTTATACTAGAGAAAACAGAAACATGGTTACTTGATAGCAGGTTGTGATTAAGAGTGAGACATGTGTGATTAATTCATTCATAGAGTTAACAAGTAATTACTAAACATACTCTATCTCCCAAAGCAATGAAGGGCATACCACCCCAATGCCTTGAAAACTAGCCCCCAAATACATACTTTCATTGAATAGACATCAAATGGATCTATTCCCATATTGGGTAAAAATTCAAATCAGTTTCTTCTTTGTTTCAATATTTATAGTGATAATTATTTTACTTTGAAGGTATTTCCATGTGCATGTGAAGGCAGTTTTTAACTCTTTAATTAGAAGTAGTTTTCCAGGGATTAATCAGATAATTATTTTAGAGTAAGAATATGCTAGCATCTAGACCACTACCTGTTTTTAAATAGCCCCACGAACTAGACAATTTTTTAAAATTATCTCTAGGGATTGTAACAAAGAATATGCAACAGAATGAACATGGTCCACAAAGTCTAAACTATCTACTATCTGGCACCTTTCAGAGAAATTTGCTTACTTCTATTTTAGAACTCAAAGCAACCTAATCTGACTGCTTTATTTTGTAAGTAGGAAAATGAGGCCATAAAAAACAGTTATTTGCTTCAAGTCATATGTTAAGTTTGTGAATTAAAATAATCTCACTTTATATCTGCTGCCATATCAAATCACCCAGAGACATATTACTTGGAAGGAAATTCTGGAAGAGCCATGAGGAGTTGTACTGAGATGGCCTTTTATCAAATTCCAAGGAATGATATAAATAAATGATTACTGTTGTCAATGAGGTCAGCACTAAAATATTCCCGAGTAGAGTGAATAACGCAGTATGTGCTCCTACTTTAGGGGCTAGAAGCAAGGACAGAGATAGAAATATGAGAAGCTGTTTCCTCATTTCTAGTACTCTCTGTGGGCAGTGGCGTACACTGCATGGATGTGGCCATTATCCCTGAGTAGATCCATACCTTGCTGTAGAGAGTCTTGTTCTTTTCCGCCAGAGTAAAGTCGGGAGTATCATAGGCATAGCAACCAATGCCTCTAAGCCAGGTCAAATCTTCTTTATATTTTACCTGGGAGAAGAACATCAAAGAGTTTTAAGAACCTACGTCCAAATAGCAGTAGGTTAGGCTCAACGAAAGTAGAACAAATAGAAGCTCTGACTGTGAGGTATATGGAATAATAAAGTACTGAAATAATTATTTAAGAGGTGTTTCCATTAATACTGATTTTTGCCCACTTTATGGTATATTGTACTGCATATTAGAATTTTCATTTTAATACCAATTAAAGCAATTTAAATTTAACAGGCATACTTTCCTAGAGAGTATATCATTAAGCTGGCATACTTTTATTTTCATATAAAGTACGAAAATTTCTTTCTAAATGAGCATTGTTATGTGTCTTAATTGCTTCATGAAGTAGTCTCTCCAGTAGATCAAAAATAGGTTATTGTTTAGCTGAAGTATATCACTTCCAGCCATGTAATATGATGTTACACATTTAGAAGAAAAATTAGACTGATAAATTTGAATACATTTTTCTGTCTCCCAAGTTGAAGCTCACTTATTCAGCAATGAGTGTTAGGACTTAAACATCCATACACAAGAGCTAAAAGTTACTCAAGTTTTAATCAATTGTTATAGAGTGTTTGTTTCATAAGTCATGTGGGCATATGAATTTATGTGTAAAAACAGATTTCACAACTCACATCACTAACTGCATCAGTGACTGCCCGATGGTGGAAATGCTCAGGGCGATCAGGAATGGACCTCCAGAATCCCAGCTGGCTCATGTAGTTCTCCTTGTATTTTATCTGTAAAACCACAAAGTTAACATACAAAAAAATCCACTTGTTTCCAGAGAGTTTTAGGAAATGGAGGTACTTTTAAAAATAATGGTGGGTTAATGAGTCCAACACAAGCAGAAAGAAGTAGGGACATACTTTGCTGATGTGGTCTGTGACGGTGCGATGGTAAACGATGTCCAGAGCATCCTTCACAGTGTGGTATTTCCCTTTGGTCTTTTGAAATGTTTCTTTATAGCGTAGCTGGAAAGAGAAAAAGCACATGGATTGTGGAGAAGTACCAAATTATATAATTAAGCTCTTTTAACCTTGAATTCTCTTGTCTTCTTTCTTATTTTTCTCTTGAATAAATTTGGGAGAGGTCAAAAAGCTCTTTTACATCCTGGAAAAGGACTTTAGGAGACAACTAATGAAACTTGCATAAAGTATGGAGTTTAGTTAAAAATAATGTACCACTATTGGCTTGTGACATATGTCCCATGGTGACGTAGGCTGTTAACAATAGGGCAGTGGGTGTAGTCTATGTGGGAACTCTGTACTATACTACTGCTACAGCTTTTTTATAAGTCTAAAAGTACTTAAAAAGTTTATTTAGATGCAAAATGAGCAAACCAAAAGCTCATTTGGGAGGAGAAAGGGAAAAAAGCCTAACTTTGTTGAGCCCAAGACCTACTAGTGTACATGGAAAAAGAAGAAAGATTCAGTGTTTAACTCCTGGTATTAAAATGTCTTCTCCATGGAGCAATCCTGAAACTTGATTTCATTACAATCTCTATCTCTGTGATGTTTCAAGAGAGATAGCTCTGACTTGAGCCTAGGAATATCACAGAAGAGTCATCTCATTTACACGAAATGAATACTTCTCTCAGCACACTTGTTTTCAACCTCAACAAACCCTTTTTTTCTGGATAGCTCAGCAAACACATATTGAAGGATTCCTTTAACTTTGTTTTTCAGATGGGTAAACTCTTAAGATTGTTTCACTCTACTTGTGGGGATAGCCATGGTAGATAGGCTGAGCTTAATGTGAGATACCACCCTTGTTACATTGGTGTAAAATGAGCTCCCGGGGCCAATTTCACTGTGTGGACATCTCTGAGAAGTGGTGATGCAAGTGAGTAAGTTTGGTTCAGATTAATATTCAACAGTAACCTTGAAGTGATAAAGATGGGGATGTCACAAGAAGACAAAAAATATCCAAGCAAATTGATTTTGAGGTTAGCATAAGATTTTCTCTGGTGGCTCAGAAAAATCTGCCCACAATGCGGGAGACCTAGGGTTAGATCCCTGGGTCAGGAAGATCCCTGGGAGAAGGGAAAGGCTACCCACTCCAGTATTCTTGCCTGGAGAATTCCCGGGACAGAGGAGACTGGTGGGCTACAGTCCATGGTATCACAAACAGCTGGACACACTGAGTGACCAGCACTTTCACACTTTATAACTTTCTCAGCTTATATTTTAAGCAAACTGACATGGCCTCTTTCCAACCAGCAGACTCCTTTTAGCTGCAAATGAAAATTTATGACAAAATTATAGAACTGAGATATTGTTCCAATTTGCTGTACCTTTTCACAATTCAGTTTAGGGATCACTGTAACTCGCTAAGATGCCTTGAAATCCTAAATTTATGTTGCTAAGTTGAGGGTGATGGGGTTGCTTGAACTTTCAGCTGGGTTAAGTCCCAACAAGTGCAGTCCTCCAGAGACCCCAGTTCAGGTAACAAGTGCAATGAATTCACAGTTGGGTTCTGGGACACAAAACTGATAAGGACTGGCCATCTACCCAGGGTTAATTTATTTTACACCTTCATTAACATAAAATCCCATTACCATTGAAAGGCACTCTTGTTTTTGATCTTATGGTATGGGAGATGAAAATCTGTCCCTCCTAATTCTAACAAATGTATCATTCACATGACTTAGCAATCAAGGGAGGAACAAATATTTTCTGAATGTCAACTAAGAGACCAGTACAGTTTTAAAAATGTGTACCATTGTCTTGAAATTTAGTATAATTTAATTATCACAATTCTTATCCTCATTCCAAATACAAGAAAAGAGTCTCAGAAAAAATAGGGAAATATAGAGTCATAGAGCAGGCAAATCACAGCATCGGGATTTGAAACTGTGTTTGACTGGCTCCCCAGGCAGCATTTTATAGATAAGTAACAGTTAGTCATCAAGTATCCCTAGGAAATGCTACCAAAGAATCAGAAGGGTCATATTTTTGCTCAGAAGAGTAACAAGAAAAGCAGTAGCTTTTCAGCATCTCTCAGCATTATTCTTAGCAACTTTGCCACATGGGTGTTGTTTGTGCCTATTTGTTTGGCTTTTGTGTTTTTGTTTTTTTTCCTGATTCATGTTGTGAGGCAGGACTTTGAATTACAGATGTGACTGTAATATCTCATGCTTCTTAGGTACCACCACCTTGGCTGCCCCCTCACAGCAGAAGGAAGAAAGCAGAGATGCATACATCACTGGCGTTCCAGTAAGCCCTCTTGGCTCTGATGAGGATTGGCGTGTCTGGAACCGGAGTGTACTTGTCCTTCATCTTTTCATATTGAATCTTGTACTTGTTCTAAGAAATGAAGATGGAAGAGAGAGAAATTTAAGCTCAGGAGTCTTCATCCTTCCCAACTCACAACCATGTCACAGATCCAGCCTAGGGACACAATGGATAATGCTTGTTAAGAGAATAGCTCTGCCTTCTGTGTCTTGATATTGCTGAGTACAACTTCTAGAAAAGAGCTCTTGATCAGCGGCAGCAGGTAAAGGTTTGAATGAAGGATCTGTTTTCTTTGCCCTGGGCCTCAGTGCTGAATTCCCAACTTACCTCGCTGACCATGTCCTTCACGTGTCTGGCGTGCTTCAGGGCTGTGGTCTGGTTTCCAGCGTGATGATGGGGTCTTTCTTTGGTGGCGAGTTCAACATATAGGTACTAAATAATAAGAATAGGGGTCAGATGTTATAGAGATGAAACTCCATACTTAGTATTCAGTCCTCTTTACTCATTTCTAACCCTAAAATGGAAGGGCAGTATCTATCTGTTATTGCCCTTTTGTTTGCTACATGTGTTTTTGTTTATTTCTTTCTGTCTAGTGTTAAGAAACACAGGTACACACTCTAGTTATCTAATATTCTTATTGCTGAGTATGGTTTAATCTAAACACGTGATAAAATGCCAACAGAAGAATGAGACGATACTGATAGATTCCTCAACATATTTTCCTCCATTTTTGCCTGAATGCATGAAATGTCATCTCATTTGTCTTTGGATAAAGGATAGGTTCTATGGAACAAATTTTTAAAATTTACTTTCAGCACCTGGAGTCCACAGACCACTCATCCAATGATTAAAATTGTATAGAACTTAGAAAAGATGGCATGGCATTACCTGCTCATGTGAAACCTAACCATAGTGACAACTGCCCCCAGAGAAAACAGCTTCTTGAAGTTAAAGGGCATGAGGCTGCATCAGGACCACCAAGTATGAGGGTCTGCTACTGACAGGAGTGGTCAGGAACACAGAACCACCCCCCTACACACACACACACACACACACACACACACACACACACACACTCCCCGTGGTGCCAGTCTGGGAGGCTTCCTGAATCTTCATGTATGAACGTTACCTGGCTCTGAAGCTTCTGCCCTCTTTTGGCTCTTGTGAGGTCAGGTGTATCAGTAACTGAAGTGAAGATTGATTTCTGCTTCCTACCTGCTGCTCTGTACACCAGCTGTAGATAAAATAGTGATAACCATCATTCCGTTTCATTGACAGATTCTGTGCCCTGCAGATGCCTTTATTGCTGACTTCAGAGACAAAGCGGGGGCTTTCCCACTGCGACAACCTCAATTTCTGTCCAATACACCAATACGTTATTTACCCTCTCCTTTTCTTTTTCCCCTGTATCAAAATTAGAAACATTCTGCAGCCTGTTCAAGTGCCCAGCCTCCCGCTATGTTCCTGGTCCCTTCTCTCTCATGCCATCTAGGACCCTGTTCCAGCAGTTGCCCCCGACTCTCTAAACCTTCAGCCCTGATTTTCCAGCCTTCTTCCCTTCTTCTACAAATGGACCCAAGTCCCTCTTTTCATCAAGTCTTTTCCAACTTCTGCCAAAGGCCTTATTTCTTTCTTTCACAACCAAGCAGACTATGTGTTTTTCTTTTCTCTTTTGATTAACTTCTCAAGGGAATAGTTTGGCTACTGCCCAACCACTCCAATGAAGTGAATTTCATTAAGACTACCGCCAACATTACAATTGCCAAATCCTAGAATGCCTCTCTGCAGCAACTGTAACTGCTCAGCAATTTCACTCCTGAACTCTGTTCTCTGCCTTCCATTCCCCTATTCTCCCCTAGGTGGCCTCCCATCTTTCTAGGCATCCCTCAGCTTCCTTCTATGGTCCTGCACTCCCCCAAAGACAGCTATTAGCTGGAGTTAAGTGTTGGCTTGGCCCCTTTTACTCTATACCATTACCAGAATGTACCCTATACATTCTGCTTGGATAACCTCATCGGCACCCAGGACCTCAACCATCAGTCTGAAATTGATGGCTTCCAAATTTTGTTAAATAGCTCCTTGATATCCCAGCCACACAGGCCAGAAACTTGGGGAGTCATTCTAGACCCCTTTTCCCTCATATGTACACCAAAACAGTCATGAATCCTGGACTCCTAACTTTGTGACAGTTCTTAAATATGACCTTCTTCTCCTTTCCCACTGCCAACGCCCTAGTTCAGCCTCCTATACCGCTTGTTACTACACATCCTTAAAAGCCTCTAAACCACCTTCCCAAATCCTCTGCTGGACACTTCACAGGGCTTACTTGTCTTTAACAAGCCTGAGAAAAAGATTTTCTTAAAGTTCAGAACTAATTAGGTCTTAATGTTCAGACTATCCTGATCAGAAATAATTCTTCAATGACTTCTCATCAAGTCCAAGATCATTAATATACCAACCACATTAACCTGGCCTGTCTATCCTAGGTCTCCAATCTCATTTCCCAACAGTCTTCCATATTCCCCATGTGCTATCTGAAACTCGTCCCAGGTTCTAGAACTCATTATGGCCAATTTCAAATACTTTCTACCTAGAATTTTCTTTCCTGTTTTATCTGCCTGAAGAACCCCTAGAGTCCATACTGTCTTGATCATTCCTGTAGTATACTACTTATCCTATTGATGTCTGTTTCTTCTCAGAGATTATGAGCCCATGGATTGCAGAAGCTCAGTTTATTATTCTTTTATCACCTTGTATTTAGATAAAAGATCTGAAAAATAATAGCTCACTAATAAATATTGAGGCTATTTGGTATTATTTAATATAATAAGGCAAACTAGAAAGTCTAAATCGAGAATAAACCCTAATTTATCCTAATCGTGGATAAAAATGCTGGTTGAACAGATAAAATGTAGGAAATAAATAATATGTATATACATATGTATGTACGTGTCCATTTCCTTACATCTAAATTATATACAAGCACAGGTTGAAACAAAATTTAGCTCATTTGCTTGGGACTGTTTTTGGTGTTACTACTGAAAGAAAGGAGATAAATAGAAATGTATTCTTTCTCCCAGGCTAAATTTTTTAATAAACCAAATCCACAAAAGCATGGAATTTCATGGCTAAAAGAAGTCCAGATCATCATCTAGTCTAATTCTCTAGCTCAGGAAATTGGGGTGTTGAAGTGAATCAGATAAGGTCACATGACAAAATGGAAGTAAATTTGGAACCAAGACTCACCTCCATGCCGTTTCTATAATTCCCTTTGAAGTATATTTTCCCTGTACTTAGGCAGGCATTGTTTGGTATGCATTGTTTATGCTCCTTGGGACAACATCTCTGCTTCCCAGTACTACAAATAAATACGTGTCAAAAAGTTTCACAATTTAAAGACAACTCCAAAATCAATAAGTTGAACTCTGAGTCATCAACTTTTTACCAAGCCAGTGTTTCCAAAGCTTTCCTCATCTTTAAAAACCCCGAAGTCCTTGGGAAGGAAGAGGGTGAGATGAGTGGAGAGTAGCATGGAAACATACACGCTACCGTAAGTAAAACAGACAGCCAATGGGAATTTGCTGCGTGACTCAGGGAACCCAAACCAGGGCTCTGTAACAACCTAGAGGGGTGGGATGGGGAGGCAGGTGGGAGGGAGGGGAAGTATGTACACCTATGGCTGACTCATGTCGACGTATGGCAGAAACAGAACCAGTATTGTAAAGCAATTATCCTTCAATTAGAAAAGAAACCCCAAAGCCCTTATTAAGCACAATTTGCAGGCTCTACCCCAGACCTTCTGAATCCAAGGTAGTAGTTCGAATTGGTATTTTCTCAAGCCAGGTCATTCTACAGTGCGGCAAGTGTGAGAGAAATTGCACTACTAAAAAAAAATGCCTATTTTTCTTCCTCAATGTTGTTGAATAATATGCACAAAATCACACTAGGAATTGGGAACAAGAGAAATTAAAGTTTTAGATAATTCTGAACCCAGACAGCTAAGAGAAGTAAAGGTATTTCAGAGAGACCAATAAGCACATTAAGTTCCCAAACAACTTAATTATTTGGTGGCTGGAGGAGCGATGTAACACTTTGAAGCAGTGGTTTCCAGTGCTGGCTGAATATTAGAACTATCTATGGAGCAGCTAAAAGCACACAGATATCCAGACAGAAAATCAGAGTCTAGCGTGGGCTTGGGATTGGAGTCCACTCAAGGGCAGTTCTAAAATATTTCAGAGATGATTCTGATACTTAGCAAGAGTGGAGAGGTACTTTTACAGAGGTGGGGGAAAACCCCACGTGCATTCCTATCTGAGTGCTAGCACTGGTTGAAATAACAGAGGGAAGCAGTCAGGTAAGCAGACGTGCTCAGGGCAGCATCTGTAACTGCTGAAGGGTGACATCCTCTGCCCTGGCTCACTCCGAGTCTAGGAGGCTGCAGCTCCTCTCCACCGAAGACAATGCTTGATTTTCCAGGGCTCCTCTAAGTTTAAGAACATCAGTCATTCCTAATCAGCACACATCAGAGTTACTGAGAAAGGAGAGCTAATGAAGTGACCTGACAGCTGGATGGAGTCTGATGAAAAGGCTGCAAGACAAACTGGGTTGAAGGAGAATGGCCCACTGACCATTTACATTTGTGGCATGTCCTTACCTCTAGGAAGCACCTTTTAGTCCCTTGCAAACATGGACATCTGTTATGACCAAAGCACTATAGGATACACATGGAAATAAGATGGGGGGGCCAATCTTCAACGGACCAACATAGGTGAAAGGGTCACATCTGTGCACAGCCAACTGCAATCAATTGGGAGCCTTGGTGCAAGGTGGGGCAGATGAAAATGAAACCGAGTCTTTTGGAACTTGAGAGGAAAGCAGAGCAGAAAGCCATTGATAGCACTGCCATGGTTGGAGTCCCAACTGCAGGGATCAATGACCCAGGAAGTTCAGAAATAAGTTCAGTCTGGAGACTACGACAGTAGTGTGAGACAGAAGGACTCTTCAATCTATAAAATCGTGCAAATGTTCAGCTATAGGTAGGGCAACTATCAGCAGCCTCATCTTATTAAAAAGGGGCAAAATAAGTAAACCGAGGCAAAGTGAGGTCAACCAACTTGTTTACACAGGGTGGCCTCACTCTGTAATTAAAGGCAGAAGGGGATTTGGGCCTAGTACGATTGCCTGAAAAAAGACCACTTAGAGGAATGAGGCCCGTATGGTGACAGATCTCCGTACCTCGCTCAGATGCGTCTTCAGTTCCTGCACTTTTCTGTATTCCGGAGTGTCGAGCACCACCTTGTATTTGTCCCGCATCTTCCTTGCCTTATCGGTGTATAGGTAGTGAGACTTAAAAAGACAACAGTGGGAATGCAAGTCGATTAATTACTTCAGGAATTGCAAGTCGTGGTCATGCGTTCAAATGGTGGGCACATGCAAGCCGCGCTGACCCTCTCTGTGTCCTGGGTGTCTTCCCAGGCAGGACCAAAAACAATTTGTCATTTTACTAAGTTCACTATCTTTTACAGGAGGCATACCTCATCTTAAGTGAGTCATGATTTGCTCAGTGGGTTGAGGGCAAATTTCCCCTTAACAGAAGCTACAAAGATTCTTCCTGCCCAGCCTGTGAAGCTGGGGCGGGGTGGGGGGCACTCACCCAGAGCTTCCGCAGGTGCCGGGAGCGGACCATGTCTGGGGTGTCATATAGGAAGCAGCCCAGTCCCCTCAGGATCTGCAAGTCCTCTTTGTATTTAATCTGTGTCACAAACATAGAAACATAGCTGGTTGTGAGCAAATTCAAAACAAGAACAATTAAGACAGAGTAGTGATACTTTTATACTGAAGGACCTTCATTTTGGTTCAGCACATCCACCCTGTCCTCTGAGTTTGCTTGAACTCAAGGAAGTCACAGGGTTTTAAAATTTAAATTGCTAACACTGACTTGAAAAGAGGACATGGCTATTATTTTATTATTATATGGATGAAAAATACCATAGATTAAATAGACTGGTCTTTTATGAGAAGGAAACATTCAAGGTGAAAAAATAAGTGACAATAGGAAGTGGTGAAAGGGGCTGGGAGTAGTGGTAAGCAAGAGAAAGATACTAAATGTGACTAGGACAGAGGCCACTTGGAGTGAGGTGCTAGTAATGATTTGGTGTTGAATGTAGAACGGTGGTCAGCAATTCTTGTATCTCCCAAGTGGTTCTCTTACTACTTGGAGAAATGTGGGGTCCTACTTCCACACTATTTTACCTCCAAGCTGTACACTCAGTTTACAAGTACTCAATGCAAAAGGCTGATCAAAGACTGGTTGGCTTCCATGTGGAGAGCAAGCCTGCTTCTTGTTAAGAGTCCCCCAGAAAGACCCTTATGAGACACTTACATCGCTGGTGATGTCTCCCACGTAGCGGCAGTGAAGCACCTGGGGTGTGTACGGCAGCGAGATCATGTGGCCTTGCATCTTGAAGAAGTCTGATTTGTAAATCAACTACAGGGGGAAATGCCCATAAATACATAAATTAGAGACCAATGGTTGACCTTCACCCTTGGGTTCCATGGCCTCCCCTCTCTCCTATGAAAACACCCACCTCGCTGACAGCCTCTTGAGTCTTCTTGACTTGGCGGATTTCAGGAGTGTCGGGAGTGGTGTGGATCTTGTCTTTCAGTTTGTGGTATAGTTGTCGATACAGTCTCTGCATTGGAGAGAAAACCATTCCAGGTGTTTAGTGTAGGATGATGAGGGCATCTGTACATTAATCAAATATTTCACATATTTAAAGAGCATGAAAGGCAAGATTAAGGTACAGAAAGAGATTGAAATTAGAAAAACATAGAAAATGATATTTATTTTACTTCAGTGAAAAATTTGAAGCACAGGCTTCCACTTTCTATCAGATGGCTGGAAAGTAGGGTTAGATATTCAAACCAATAGTTCATGTAGAAAACCATTTAAGTTCATGAATCAGACTAATATGCAACCTTATTAAAGATTTTTTTAATACAAATGTCAAAAGAAGGAATTAATTTGCATCACAATCTATGGATGGGTGGGTCTCAACAAAGGTATTACTAAATATATAAAAATATTGCCATAGGATACCAGTATCAAAATGATGACAGGATCCCCTTATTCCTTCCTGATAAATTAAAGTTTGTAGCTGAAATACAACTAATCCTTAATGCATTGCAAACAAAGCCATGGTCTTTGAAACTCCTCACAGAATTAATAATCACAGTACCTCGCTGGTAATGCTGTTGACCCTTCGGACGTTGACAAATGGCACATCATTGGGTCCAAGTGTGTACCCATATGCCTTCATGTGTTCATAAACTTCTTTGTACTTAAACTGCAAAAGCAAAGTGAGAATGAGATCTCTGATGGATAAACAAAGATTAAGCATCACATTTGTCAAATAGAAGAGGGTTGTCACTTTCATTTGAAAACTACTCTCTAAGCATTAAGTATGGAAAAAAATCATTGACAAAATTTCTACAATAATCTGTCTTGAAAATTATTTTGTTGGCTAATTAAGCCAGATCCAGAAAGGAATACAATTCATGGTTGCCTAGATTAAATCTGTTTGTAAGTTGGTAGGCAAAACACAACAAAAACCCTGTATTTTTAGTCCCAATATGGCTAGGAAATTAAGAATATGCAAAGCAGAAATGAGAGACTGATTTTAAGACTGATGGATGAACAATTTCATAAACTGTTTAAAAGAATGATGTTAGATAACTAAATCTGTGACTTTGCTTTGGAAACCATCTTACTGGGTCACTGGCTGTGGGACTTTGCTGGTCAGTAGGTTCAATTTCCAGGGCTCTGGAGGGCAGTATGGAAGGAAGATCTCATTTTTGGGCTGATGGCTGGTTTGTGGTATGGCCTAAAGGCCAGAGTCACCAGGATAGACAGTGCCTCTCCCGATCTGCTCATTACATCCCAACCTGACACTAGTGGGAAAGGTTGCTAATGCCTGGGAAAGCTGCAGGTAACAAGAACCTAAGTACCCTCCGAGCTTTCTAGGAAGTGGGCACAGAAGGTCAGTCACGAGGCAAGTATCAGGGTCTTTCTTGTCAAAGGAACACATGGTGAAGTTGTATTTTTTTTATAATAAGATATTGCAGAAGGCAGACTACACTATCGCCACACAGCAGTAGTGCACATATGAAGGAGCATTTCCAGTAGGTGATTTGAGATAGTTCAGGATGTTTCTGTGTTAAGGCCAACAGAATTAGAAGCATTATGGCAGCCATGATCCCTGAGCCAAGGTAACTGAGTCATGAAGATAGAACCCCATGAAAGTCATTTACTAACCCATCATGCTAACCAGGCACGCCTAGAAAATATACCACCTCCCTTCCCTGCTACCATCGTTTTTTAAAAAACTATTTTAATTCCATCTTTTTTTTGGCCTCACTGCATGACATGAAAGATCCTAGTTCCCCAACCAGGGATTAAATCTGTGTCCCTCTCAGTGAAAGTGACAAGTCCTAACCATTGAACCGCAAGGGAATTTCCTCCCATCATTGTATCATGCTGAAACTTCAGGGTGTGAGCAAGGGGATGAAAACAGGCTATTAATAAACATTAGTATCCTCCTTCCTACTTTAAGCCCCATCTCAACAAGGAGGAGACCACTCACATAGCTGCTCATGTATCGGGTGTCCTTGGTGTGTTTGAAGTGAGGGGTGTCGACTGGAAGCCTGTATCCAGTGGGCAGGGCATGCAGGCCAGCTTTTCGGTACAGATTCTGCCAGGATGAAGAAGAGCGAGTTAAATGACAACTATATCAACTGATGGATCTAAGTTAAACAAATCATTTCCAGCTTGTGTTAGGTTTTCAATCTACTTACACTCACTGAATTGATTTCAAGAAGGAATTAAGTAAATTCTAAGAGTCAAGCAATGAATTAAATTCAGTTCAGTTGCTCAGTTGTGTCTGACTCTTTGTGGCCCCATGAACCGCAGCACGCCAGGCCTCCCTGTCCATCACCAACTCTGGGAGTTTACCCAAACCCATGTCCNCTTTTGGCCAGTTATTAAACCTATTAGTTTATTAAAATATACTGGCCATCTAGCCAACGCATGAACTGTACGTGTCGAATGATCATTCTGACACTTTAAAATAAACTTACTAGTTAAGTTGATCAAATCAATGTTAGCCTGCAGACTGTTATTGCTGTTTTTAGTCACTAAGTCATGTCCCAACTCTTTTGCGATTCCATGGACTGTAGTCCGCCAGGCTCCCCTGTTCGTGGGATTCTCCAGGCAAGAATACTGGAGTGGGTTGCCATTTCCTTCTCCAGGGGATCTTCCTGACTACCAGATAACAAAGAACAAGGATATTAAATATGTGAGTGGAATCTAGTTTCTTTCTCTTCTGAATTCTAACCGCAATCTTTAGCTTTATTTCTTACTGTACATGGTCTTTTATGACTAACATGCCTTGTCTTTGTCCTCTTGTCTTGGACTGTAAGCTTTTTGAGAGCAGAGATAGTTGATTGATCCTCTTCTATGTATGCATTTTTCCAAAAATGCCCACTGCTTGCTCTCAGCCAAGAGGGAAGACAGGCGATACACTGTTTTTCTTTTTTGTTTTGTTTAGCTCATGTGACTGGAGCAGTCTTTATGATTTACAAGGTCAGGCTGAGGACACCCAGGAGAGGCCACTTCTACAGAGACCTGGTCCTCGTCCTGGGTTTCTGCCGGGCAGTCTGCCCAGCTCTCACTGCTCACCTCACTCTGGAGTTTGTATGCATGAAGGGCCCGATCCAGATCCACGGTTTTTGTGGTCGGAGCCACTCTGCCTCTGATGCTGTGCACGTAGTCATAGTGGTAGACAGCCTGGATGCAGAGAGAAGCAGAGTGAGTGGACTGCACTGTGACCTCAGGGTTAAAAGAAGCAAAAATGCAAATCCAAGTCTCTTAATATAAAGATTATATATGCCTGCTCCCTTTGCCTCAGGAACTTTATCTTGAATACTGGGCCTTGTCCAATGGAATAGGGCCAGTGTGTGGATCCCACACTGAGAAATCAGTAGAAGAGTCAGCTCAGGCATATGAAAAGGAAGAACAGGCGTTTTACCACCACGAGTTCCACAATAAAAGGTTTTCACGTTCTGACTCACTGGTGGGGTTTAGTATTTGCTTATTAACCTGTGGGGTTAGTAAAAAGGGGGCAGCCTGCTCTGTACCACTGTGCTATTACACAGGAATTTCCATCCACTTTCCCGCTGCCCACATAAGGATGCTGAGGCTCAGGGGATTAAGTGCCTCTCTCAAGTCTATTGGATTACATGTGCTAGAAGCCTCATCAGTAACTGCAGAGACCCTCTTCTCTCCATCTCATCATGCATGCACATGTGCTAAGTCGCGTCCAACTCTTTGCAATGCTATGGACTGTCCATGGGATTCTCCAGGCAAGAATACTGGAGTGGGTGGCCATGCCCTCCTCCAGGGGATCTTCCCTTACCAGTGATCACTAAATGAATTAGAAAGCTGAGACCGTGAGGCATAAAGCATTGCTCATGACACAAGGATACAAAAAGCAACCTGGGAAGTTCTAAAACAGTAAGGATTTCATAAATGTGGATTACTTACAATGCCATCCCAGGAAACTAATAGAACACATCAGGTTTTAGGAAATCAGAGAAGACTCCTCAGTACTTTCTAAGGCACCAACACTGGTCTCCCCCTGAGAAACGGCCTGGCCCTGACCTGTCTTTTGTTCTTCCCACTCCTGCTAGTGTGGTGGCCCTCTTTTCCTCTCCCTGAAGTAACTTCTCCAGTGGGCACTTACATCACTTAGCTGTTTCCCACTTTTGACAGCCTGAACGTAGACAGGAGTGTCAGTAACCAACTTGTAATTGTTCCTTGTTTTCAGCACGTGAGCTTTGTACTTTGCACTTACATCACTCAGCTGTTTCCCACTTTTGACAGCCTGAACGTAGACAGGAGTGTCAGTAACCAACTTGTAATTGTTCCTTGTTTTCAGCACATGAGCTTTGTACTTGATCTGTCAAGAGAAAGAAAGAAAATAAGCCTGTGTTAGACCGTTCAGTAAATTTGAAATTTGGTTTTCACATAGAGCTTGGCTGCTTTTAGCTCATGGCATGCACTAGCCCTGAGTTTTATAACAATCAGCGTAATCAATGCTTATAGTCACATGGATTGTCTAGATTCTTCCAGGACGCTTGACAACTGCCTTCCTAGAAATATTTAAGCTTTCTTACTAAAATCTTTATTATAGTATTACCTTACCTAGCAAATCCTCTCTTTACAAATAGATCCTGTCCATAGCATCACAGACTCCTAATAAATGAGATGTTTCTAACAATAGGAATTATGCGCTCATTAATATATCCAAGATCATTCATAAGGTGGTGAGAAGAACCAGGGGTCCCTTCTGTACCAGAGGACAATGGGACAGCTCATCTGCATTGTCTGCATTCCTGAGACATGGCCACTCTGCTCTTCAGCATCTTCCTCCAGGTCGGCCATCCTCATCACCATTTCAGACACAGTTGGGTGCGACAGTGTCTGTACTTGACGTCCTCTCCCCTTGACTCTAGACCACACGGGGAAGGAAGCATACTTGAAAGAACCAAAACCCAAAAAACAAGGTAAACTCACATCGTTGCGTAGATCGTAAGCATGCTTGGCGTGGAGAATCTCAGGAGTGTCCCAGACGTAGCAACCAATGCCTTTCAGCCAGGTGAGGTCATCCTTGTACACAATCTGGAGGTTGCAACAGATGGAGGGGGTCGGAACAAGAAAACTTGACTGGAACTTTAACACCAAAGACACAGACACGCTCCAGACCCAGGATGACTTTGCAGAACGAAAAGCAAGACATTATGCCCCGAGGCCATGGGTGCTCTGCAGACTTCAGCATGCAGAGCCCTGCTTCTAGGGACAGCTTGAATTCCTGGCAGACCCCTGGGTGTATAGGAGAGTGATTCTGGAAGAGGGCTGAGCTGAAGAACCAAGTGAGTCAGCCTCTCTTCAGGGGTCCGGGGGGGCCGCGGTGTGGGGCTGGGGAGGAGGACCTTCATAAGCAGTAGACTTACGTCACTGATCTGGTCTGTGACCTTCCTGACGTGACTGTTGACTTGCAAGTCAGGGTGGCAAATCCACTCGTGGAGGTGAAGGCGGTAGTCGATCTCACTGACTTTCTTCTGAGAATCCTTAGCAGTAACCATCTCTACCATGTCAGGCACTATGTGGATTTTCATCTTGTTCTTCTCATAAACAGATCTGTACAGGCGCTGTGGAGATAATGTAACACAGCAGTTACACAGGGAACTATGCCAGGGTCATGGCAACACGCGCCTTTCTTAGACACCACAGAGGTCGGGCACCACTTAGAGCAATAGGTTGGGGGCAGAGTGGGGACTGGAAGTTTCTGACACTTTCTACAGGTTCATAGGGGTCGGGGGAAGCAGAATGGGCTGAAATAACTCTCAGCTTCTTCACACGTGCACAGTCAGTACCATGCGCACTGCTGAAGAGAATGATGCTCTGACTTAGAGTTGGTGGTTCTGTTACTTGGCTTTTGAAACCAGCCTTTAGGATCACTTACGTCGATGTTAAACTTGCCAACTCTGAGGCACCGCGCTGTGTTCGGATCATCTTCAACACTTCTGGGTAAAGTGTAAAGAGCTTTGAACTTCTCATATTCTTCACGGTATTTGATCTATAGAGAGAAAATACAAAGGAAGTAAAACAGTTTTGAAGAGTGATGGATCTATATTGTTAAATGAACATGAGACTTAATTAATAAGAACCCAACTCTGAGACGGGCCACCTTTTGGTCAGCACTTTTCTGAGCTTGTTTCTCTGTCTGTGCCCAGAGGTAGGGGAAGCATGATATGTGCCATAGGATTACCCGATAATTAGATCAGACTATGTGTAAACATCCTGTAGATATCATTTTAAAAACTCCCATACCAATACAAGTATTTCTGCTGGTACTACAACTAATTTTAAAGATGATGTAATTTAAAAATGATCTCTTTTGTGATATTGGCTTTGTTTTTCTTAACCATAGTAAAAGATGAAAAATGTGCTCAGGAATTTCTTTGTTTTTAATAACTGACAAGTCTGGTGCTTAACAGACTTAATCCTTGAATTTCAGTTTCTATGAGGTTTTCCAAAAATACAGTGCAACTAAATTCTATGGGAAAACTGATGTCTAGTTCTTAAGCCATACTGCCTATTAATGAATGTTTCTTTATTTTATGGACTAGGAGGAAAGGCCTTTACAGAGACTGGGATCCTCTCTTCTGGCATGTGATAAAATAACAATTCTCTTACAATTCAGAGGCCCACATCTCGGTTAAGACAAAAAAAGGAAAGATAGGAGTATTTATGCAGAATTTCAGTAAAACTCTTCACTGATGGAAATCAAGGAAATTCCCATCAGAATTTTCCAGAACATTAGTTCACGTGTTCCTTATATCTAAGCGATTCCTCAGTTATAAAGAAACTAGTATTCAAAGGCATTTAAAAAAGACTAAAGTTGAAATCATTCTTTTAAAAATTAATTTCTCTATGTTTGATATCATTTCAAGAACAATTTGCCTGGAGAATCTTGCATCTGGAAGTTTTTTTCATGACTAAAGGAAAAAGCCTTTGCCGAGCTTTCTATCTACAAAAAATTCTCGAATGAAAAGCTTGATCCTTCGGGCTAGTCTGTTTGCAATCTCCCAAATTAAGTTAGTTCTGGGAAAAATCATATAGATTGAATTTTTCCCTCTGGGTAAAAATTAATCCCATATATGTTGTCTAACCAAGACTTTTTCTATACTGTGCATTTCCAGGCCCATTAGATGGTAGTGAAACCAACTTCCTGGGTCTCTAGCATTTATATGAAGATTAAAAGAATAGAATTGAAAGATCAGGATGCACTGTCTTTAGTGTAGCAATAAGCACTCTTCTGTAAAATACTTATGTGAGAAGGAACTGTCAAAAACTTCAGGTATATATGTATGTGTTGATCTGCAGTACAAAATAGATTTCTCAGTGTGGAAAAAAGATCTGAGAAATATTGGTCTAAAGTATTACATAAAATGTTCAAAGTTAAGAGGTGAAAGTCTCTAACAGAGGCAAAGTTTCTGAAAGAAAACTAGGCTTATTAGAACTGCAATGAAATTTATAGAGAGTTTTACAATAAAAGGTTTTACTTAAGGCATAAAGGGTTAAAAGTGCTAAGACCTTATACTATATTTAAACAGCTCATGTGATTTAGGATTTTTTGAAAATTATGTCTATACCTATGAAAATTTTGTTTTTAAAACAGTTTCAAAAGATTTTTAAATTTTTATATTTCATAGTTATAAAGTTAATGATTTACTCTTAAATCATATATTTGGGGCTGATGAAATAAATAGTTACCACATTCACTGGTTTATTTTTCTACCAAAGGTCACATAATTCTATTAAAAAAAGCGTGCATTTTATATGGGGTATTATGTCCTCTATTTCATTTCTGGCAAAAATATCCATATCCACCCATGCCATTTGCACACAGGAGCCCTAAAAGGTCACACTGGTGTCCTTCATGTGTGTGTGACTGTCTCTGGACTTTACAGCCCTTGAGAGGAAAAATAAATGCACAGATTTTGTGACGACTGAGCGCCTGGAGTTTTTTGGTGGTGTGCCCCTTTGAAAGTGCTGAGGGCCCTTCTGGGCGCACAGGAACCAACTTTTCAAAAGATTTTAAAATTTTTATATTTCATAGTTATAAAGTTAATGATTTACTCTTAAATCATATATTTGGGGCTGATGAAATAAATAGTTATCACATTCACTGGTTTATTTTTCTACCAAAGGTCACATAATTCTATTAAAAAAAGAGTGCATTTTATATGGGGTATTATGTCCTCTATTTCATTTCTGGCAAAAATATCCATATCCACCCGTGCCATTTGCACATAGGAGCCCTAAAAGGTCACACTGGTGTCCTTCATGTGTGTGTGACTGTCTCTGGACTTTACAGCCTTTGAGAGGAAAAATATATGCACAGATTTTGTGACGACTGAGCGCCTGGAGTTTTTTGGTGGTGTGCCCCTTTGAAAGTGCTGAGGGCCCTTCTGGGCGCACAGGAACCAACCAGAAACATTCTGGGGGAGGAGAGCGGGGAAGGGCAAGGAATGGTGGGAAGGCTAATTGACTTACATGGCTGGCCATGTACTTCTGGTTCTTGGCATGTGTCAGGGACACGGTGTTAGGAGGCAGGATGTAGCTGGTGGCTTTCACTTTATCCCAGGCCTCCTTGTACACGTTCTGTAGGGGTTAAAAATCTTGTGAACACAGAATAATGCAACCTGGATAGCTTCCAGAGGCAAATTTTCCCGGTTTCTGTCCTTCTCAGACATTCCCTAACAACCCCGAATCTCACTCTGTGGGAGCCAAGTGCTCCTAAGTAAATAACTGTTTTACTGACTTGTTCATAATTTCAGAGTCCGTTATTTTGTTCTCTCCCATAGCACTTATCACAGTTTGACAGTTATCAGAGATTTTGATGACCTATTCATTCCTCCATAGGTCTAGGATTCCTAGAGGATGAAAACCACTAATATTAAATAGACATATAGCAGGAGATAAAATGTTTCCATTTCTAGGTATTTATTTACTCAGGAGAAATAAAAAGCTATGAACACAGAAAGTGAAATGAAAGTTGCTCAGTTGTGTACGACTCTTTGCGACCCCATGGACTATACAGTCCATGGAATTCTCCAGGCCAGAACACTGGAGTGGGTAGCCTTTCCCTTCTCCAGGGGATCTTCCCAACCCAGGGATCAAACCCAGGTCTCCCACATTGGAGGCGGATTCTTTTCCAGCTGAGCCACAAAGGAAGCCCATGAACACACAAAACCTATATGCAAATATATACAGCATCTTTACATAATTGTCAAAAACTGGATGCAACTCAGGTGTGCTTTTAGCTGTGACTGGAAAAACTATGGTTTAGAATTTTGTTTTGCTATAAAAAGGATAAAGTACTGATTTAGGCAGCTATTTGCTAACACGTAAATGCATTTTGCCAAGAGAAAGAAGACAGACCTAATGGCTACACGCCATGTAATCGTATTTAAGTGACCTTCTGGAAAAAGTAAAACAATAGGGACAGGAAAAAAACTCTGTGGATGCCAGGGGAGAGGAGTGGGGCAGAAAGGGTTAATTTGGAGGTGATATAGAATTTTTCTGTATCTTGACTATAATAGTGAATACACGATTTTATGTATTTGTCAGTACTATGTACCACAAAGAGTAAAATTTACTGTATGCAAATTAAAACAAACAACCAAGAATCAGAATGGGGAAGGGAACTAAAATAGAATACAAACTGTAGCAAATAAATCTAACTGTATTACAAATGTATAACAAAGCTACAGTGAAGGAAGTGGTGAAGAAAACAACTGAGTTAGTTTATAAAATGGTATCTTGACTGGATATTCTAAGGCTATAGGCAAAAATAACTGTACGCAAAACACCTTACTCTAGTTAGTAAGTTTGTTTCTCACAGGGGTGTGTGTTAGGAATTCTGAAAGTATTTTATATGCATACAAGGGTGGCACACATAGATAATGAGAGTCAATGTTTTCATTGGAAAGGAAATAGAAAGTTACAAGTTGGAAAAGTAAGTTACAAACAAGGAAAAGGTGAATGAACCCTGTGGTGCTGAATTGTATTAGACAGCAATAGTTCCCAATAGCAAAGCTGAAACCATTTGAGCATCAAAATAAAAAACAGTAACATTAGATTCTATCCCATAGAATAAAATAAATATCCATGAGCCTATACTGATACAAATAAACAGAGAAACTGACAGTGTAGAAGGAACAGCTGTTCCTTACAGAAGAATTCCAATTGATAAATGTAGAGGGGATAAGGGCAAGAGAAGACAACTGGTAGGGAACTGTAACAATTCTTGCGGGTAAGATCCATCTATGGATGCTAAAATATGTGAGAGAAAGTGTGAGGAGAAACAGGATAATTGCACAGTCCCCAAGAATCTCGTCCAAGATATTTATTAATAACAAAGGTAAAAAAGAAAGTCTACAGTGGAGAATCCCAGCAGATAGCAACTTAAAATAAGTGATCAAGGTCATTCCCAGGTATTGATACCATGTACCACTGGCTATGATGGGCTGAGAAGGGCATATCACTTCTGTGCTATTCTTGCCAAAATTAGGAATACCTTAAACCTAATCATGAGCAAACTTAAGATCAACTCAAGCTTCAAAACATTCTACACAATAACTGGCCAGAACTCTTCAAAAGGGTCAAGATGAGAAAGAGACAAGGAAGAATTAAGAAATTCTCAGATACAAAGAGACTAAGGAGTCATGATAACCAAATGCAGCATGGGATCCTGGACTGGCATCTGGGACAGAAAAGCACTTTAGTGGAAATACTGTTGAAGTCTGGATAAAGTCTATAACATTATTACAATGTTTATTTCTTTTGTTTTGGTAATTGTTCTATGGAGAAAAGTATATGGGAATTCTCTTTACTACTTTTGCAATTTTTCTGTAAGTCTAAAATTATTTCAAAATGAAGTTTAAAAAATGTTTGATGAATTAAGCAGTTCAGAGGAGGAAAAAAGAGTGCCTCTCTTGATCTATAAGTCACTGGCCAAAGGAAAAGCTAGGGAAAAACAAGTCCAGGGTCAACAAAGAATAGCTCCAACAGTACCTGTTTGCACTAGGGAATGAGTTAGTGAATTTTTATCAACTGCATGACATAGAACAATATTCAAATTGGGGCTTATTTACTTGTACCTATTAGAATTTATAAGATAAAGTAGGAAATTAAGGCTCCAGGAAAAAGATTAGAAAGACCTTTGGGGGTAAGGTTGCTTGTTCCTTTTAATCTCTTATTGTCTCTAAAGGTGGAAAAGGTAACTCAAATACAGAGAAAAGAAAACTCAACTCACACTGCTAAACAGATCCTTCAGATTCTTGGTTCTGTCATAATCCACCGTTTCTAGAACTGTCGTATATTTGTCTTTGATCTGATGATAATTCTCTTTATATTTCACCTACAGACAAAGAAGATGGGTTATTCTTTTCTATTATTTGACAACATGTAAGACCATAACAGCTTGTCCTGGGAGAGCTGTGCATGGAAGACTCACCTCACTGGCGTTAATGCCACTTTGAAGAGCAGTCACATAAAGTGGTGTGTCTGTGACCAGGTTGTAATTCTTTAGATTTTCTTTACCTGCTGCTGTGTACAGTATCTGTGAAGAAAAAGAAAAGTTACTGAAAATGGTAAAATGCAGGTCTGCTATTTGTGCCAACTTAGATGTACATTTCTGGGTTTCTGCTTTAATCTTAACAAAAAGGATAGGTTGGACAGTCCTGCAGACTTTGTACAGCTGTCAAAACTAAGTTTCTCTTGACCAAAAGTGGAGTCTGGATCTTTGCTAGGTCCCTCCTTCATCATGTTGTCTTTTCATGCTTATACTCTGTCCCTGACAACAGACCCTCAATTTCAACATCCATCAGATAGCTGCCCTCTCTGAGATGAATTTTTGCTGTGAAGTTTTCCAAGTAACTACTTTTTACTTCAAAAATTAAATACTTATGGTTAAGGTATGCATTTGGTTTCTACTCCCTGCCAGTCAACCTGATCAATTAAGGTATACGTGCTTGAGAGTAGCTCACTACGAAATAGCTCCCAGATAACAGTCTTATAAACGTCTACAGCCTTCAACCACAGGGGAGACTCAAACTGAGGAAGGCCAGCACAATAGCCGGCCACCGGAAGAGGTTTTATTGGCAGGGGTCTTTGGTTCCCTTAGACTGTGTACTGTCAGAGCCACTTTTTCCACCTGGGCACAGAGACAGTCTTGCTATTACCTCACTGGGAGCATCATGGAGTCCATCAGTCCACAGTGAGTTAGTTCGTCTAGGAATATGGCTCACCTGACTCTGGAGGTCATATGATTTCTTCGCATGGAGGATCTGGGGTGTATCCCAAACGTAACACCCAATGCCTTTCAGCCAATTCAAGTCATCTTTGTACACATTCTGCAAGAAAGAAGGAACAGTGAAAGGTAACTGGTACTAATTGAACTTCCAATCGAGCATTTGATTTTCTCCTGTTAGCCTTTGGCTGTGCTTAGTATATACTCAGCTGCCATAGGATGGGTTTTTCAACAGTTGGAAGGTCTTTAATGCCCTAGTCTAAAGAAGTTTAGGAGGAGAGCAAAAGCTAAGCCCAAGACTACTGGAGTGGGTAGCCTATCTTTTTTCCAGGGAAACTTCCCAACCCAGGAATCAAACAGGGGTTTCCTGCATTGCAGGAGGATTCTTTACCAGCTGAGCTACCAGAGAAGCCCAATGCCCTAGTCTAAAGAAGTTTAGGAGGAGAGTAACAGCTCTGTTTTAGTCTAGTGTTGAAGAGATTAAATAATTAACACCGGTGTCTCATTGCTCTGAGGGGATCTTTACATCAAAAAAAGTTACTCCTGCCACTTTGTGTTGAAAAGCAGCAGGGTCTAGGAATACAGAGACGACGAGAGCATAGGGGCCCGGGCAGGGCTGGATTAAGGCTGTAACTTAATCAAGCTGCAGAAAGGACCTCATACATCACTCAAGATCTCCTGCGCGTGTCGGACCCGGACAACATTGGGTTCTTCTGGAAGAGATGTCCACTGGTGGAAGTAGTGTCGGTATTCCAAGTCACTGAGGATGTACTGGCACCTTTTAGCCAACACGTGATTCATCATATCTTGGGGGATATGAACATCTGCTTTGGTGTCCTCATAATGTCTTCTGTAGTTCAACTAAAGAATGATATATATTTAAAGACAAAAATAAGAAAGCCATTAAGCTATTCTGATCAATTTTTTCTAGAGTCTTATTTTCAATATAGATCAATACCTTCAGATTGGACCAAGGTTATAAAAATGATACTTTAATATATTCTAGTTCTTCAAAAATTTCCCATCCCTTTACTGTAACACAGAGTAAAGAGGAACCAACCTTGTTTTCCCCTTTTTCCAAATACAGAGTCCTCACCGTGTTTGGAGGAATAGGGGGGAAAGGGTGAAAACTGATAGCTACCAGAGGTGTGCAAGGCTACGTGGCAGGGACGGGGGAAAGTCTCAAGAATGAGTCACTCCTCACTATCCCACCCCCAGCCTATTTTGAAACAAAGGGCAGATTATAAATAGGCAGAAGAGTAGTACACTGAGGTGTGCAAATCCTCTTGTTAAAGTCAACTTTGCTTACCAAGCTCCTCATTTTTTGGAAGTCCAGACAGTGAACCACGTTGGGGAACTCACTGATTTCTTTTCCAGCCAGGTAGTGACCCTTCAGCTTCTCATACGTCTCTTTGTATTTCAGCTGTGAAGTAGGTACGGTATTGAGAATCACTAGGACTTTCCAACCAGCCCTTTGCGGCTAGAAAGACTCTCAAACTTACGAAAGGAAAACGTCCTACTGACCTCGCTGTTCACAAAGTCAGCATGCTTGGCTCCCACAATGGGGATGTAGCGTTCGTCCAGGGTGTAGCCGTAGGCCTTGGTTCCCTCCCAAGCCCTTTTATACAGTATCTAGGACAAAGAAACGCATATCAACAAAACTTCGCATTCAACCTCTTTTAGATGTCACTTGAAAGAAAATGGTAAAACCAAGGTAAAGTATTTATGTTTAAAGGCAAGGCCTAAATCTTCATTTACAGCCAACAGTGTGCCTACTTAAGAACAGGACAGAGTCTTTGGACTGGTTGCAAATTAAACCTACTGACCCCGAGACATTTTATAATAGAGTTTAACTTTATTTACATTTCTAATAAAAGTGAAAACAAATTTGCACACAGGGAGAGAATCACCAAAGATTGCTTCCCATTCAGCATATACACACACACACCCTTTAGATAAGCTGAATTAAAATTTGGAGAGCAAGTCCTCCACTTGCTGGCTGGAGATATCTGGACATGATTGCTAAAAAGGGACCACCCTTTCCTCTCTTCCTTCTGTTGGTAGCTGCTTGGTCCTACATGTGCCCAGAAGTGATAGAGCTCTTGTTACATTATTATCTTTTTAAAAAATTATTTATTTTTAATTGGAGGATAATTGCTTTACAATATTGTGTTGGTCTCTGCCATACATCAACATGAATCAGCCATAGGTATACCTATGTCCCCTCCCATCTCCCATTCCATCTAACCGCTCTAGTTTGTCACAAAGCGCTGGGTTGAGCTAGCTGAGTCATACAGCAAATTCCCACTGGCTATCTGTTTTACATATGTAAATATATTTATATGTAAATATACATTGCATATGTAATGTATATGTTTCCATGCTTCTCTTTCAATTAGTCCCACCTTCTCCTTCCCCTACTGTGTCCACAGGTCTGTTCTCTATGTCTGTGTCTCCATTGCTGCCCTGCAAATAGGTTCATCAGTACCTTCTTTCTAGATTCCAAGTTATGCATTAATGTACAATATCTGTTTTTCTCTTTCTAACTTACTTCACCCTGTATAATAGGCTCTAGGTTCATCCACCTTATTTGCACATCATCTCCCTCACTTGCAGACACTCCTGAAAGTCTTATTGTATTGATCTTTAGCTCCTCAGTGTCTCCCTCAATGCCTGGCCCATCACAGGGCCTCAAACAATGCTAGCTGAATAAATACTACTTGCTCTGAATAATATGCTATAAAATAAGAATAAATACAACAAAATAATACATCTCCTTATAAGTTCAGTTGTTCATAAAGTCAACCAAGAGCATGAATACTAACAAAAGCTTAAAATTCAGAACTGAGTTGTACATCACATAAAATAGAACTTACGGTACTGTAGAGTTTTTCCATGTCTTTGGAGTGGGTGATATATGGTGTATCTGGAGAAAAGATATACTTGCCCTTTATTCGTTTATTAAATGTTTCTTTATATTTTACCTGAGGAGAGAAAACAAAAGAGAACTTTTGATTATTCTAAATATATATTTAAAGTTTCACAAGATTTACCTAGCAAAAAATATTTACATTTGAAGATTAATCAATGGGTTAAATTTCATATTTGATATAATTTATGTTATAACTAACACAATGAAATGTTTGGGATAATAATTTAGATATTATCTAAAGGGGTACAGTATATGTCCTACTAGTGACTTTCAAGACATTCTCCCCCAAAGATTTTCTTATAATTTACTCTCCATTTTCTTTCAAACCATTATCTGGAGTTAAAGAAAGTCTGTTCAGTGACAGACAGTTAAGTTCCCAGTTTATATACCTTATTATACACAAAGAAAACTTACATCACTTTGATTGACTGAGTTAATCTTGGCGAGAACAATCTCTGGAGGATCCACCACACTTGTAAAGTTAGGATAGTTGGCAAGAGCATCTTTCTTATATTTTATCTGGAAAGGAACAGAGATAATTAAGATAGGTGGTCCCCTACAGGGTACCTATCCCCACATGGTAGGTAGGGAGGCCAGGCTTTATGCAGAAAGAAAAGGCTCTGCATACCTGATTCACCATTTCCTGGTTCCTGGTAACCCTCACATGGTCCACAGAATCCAGGGGGATCCAACCAATGCCTCGGAGCCACTCCAAGTCAGCTTTGTAGATATTCTGAGAGCAGAAAGGGAGACATAATGCAGGTGTAAATAACTCGGGCACATGATATCAGGCAGCAGGTTAGAAACAAATTTTTCAGAAGATTTTTAAGGCTTTCTCTCTAGTGGCTATTGTCTCATTGATTCAAACATGATTTCATCTGTATACCTGAGCAATATTTCTCATGGCTGTTAATATGAATGAGGAACTATGCAAGGTGGTTTGAGAGATGAATATAAAGAAAGTGTCTGAAGTGTAGAGAGAAGTTATCTATGAAGTAGACAGTGGTAGGTACTGCAAGAGGAAGACCACTTAGATGCTGCGGGAGTTAAGGGTAGGGAACCATTGTTTTCACCTGTGAGCATAAGACAAGGTTTTGCCAAAGAAGTTATAGTTTTAGATGGGCTTCATATATATAGCTATATAGAAATCTGTGGGGTATTCAGACAAAATAAAGGAAGCCACACAAATAAATGCTCACGTCTTGTAGGGTTGGGGGCCACCCCTCCAGTCTATATTTACCCTCGCCCCCACTTCCTGGATTCTCTCAGGCCACCACACACTACATAAAGAGGAGTTGCTAATCTGATTAAAGTTCCACAAAGGTTAACCTGCTGCAGCCACCAGTGAGATGGGATGTTCACGTTCAGTACCTGTGCTGCAGGCAGAATCTGACATCCTGTTTTGGTAATAATGAGAAGACCCAGGTAGGGTTAGCTTCTTGGTGCTTCTGAGCATCACACTGATGCACTGTGTTTCTGTTTCCTACAGACTACTGGTGGCAGGGAGAGATCTTGATTCAGGCTTCAGGGGGAGGTGCCCTGAGATACATCCTCTCTCCCAGCATTGTCAACCTCTGCATAAAGGGCTTCTGGCCCTTCTGCAGCTCATCAGTACATTGTGTCCCTTTTGCTTTGATTCCTTGCAAGCAACTCCTTCATGAAAGGAAGGAGATGCTTGGCAAAGCAAGGAGGAGGCATTTCCAGGTCTTGACTACACTACCATGTAATACTGTTGAAATCCCAAATCAATGTCAATTCCCGCCCAAGCCAATGCTTATTTTAAGTTAGTTGACAATTTTCCATGCACATGTGAGGAACTGTTGATGACAGAGATGGTAGTACAGAAACAGATTTTTTAAAACTTGACTTTTAATTTTCTACGTCTGGCAATAGCTTATTTGAAGGCTTAGAGATTTTAGGGAAGCAGAGAATAGAAGAAAAAAATAAAGACCTCAAACAATAGTTTTTGAAGAAGCAGAGAGGAAAAAAAAGATGAAGAATGCCAAGAGCCCACAGGAAAAGGACAAGAAGGGAGCAGGTACTCTGGTCATCCTCAAGGCTGGCCAGGCCTGCCAGCCAACAAGGAGTTCTCCATGGTGCTATGTCTTAGGATAACTGGGTCCCTGGAAGCGCAATGGCCAGTCTTTGCAAAGTTCCCTCATATCAAATTAACTTACCTCACTCTGAACATCACCAGAATGATGGGCGTGAACAAACGGCACAGCATCTGGAGGCAAAATGTAACCGGTGGCTTTTTGTTTCTCCCAGCTTTCCTTGTAGAGATACTAAAAGACAGAGAGAGAGCCATGACAAAGGGTTAAACCGAGGAGTCAGAATAGAGGGCTAAGTCTCCTACAGGTATGCTATAGTCCTCCATCCTCACAGAAAGTGTCAGGCGTCCAGGCAAAATGCTTACCTGGTCCAGTATCCGGGCTGCCTCCTGGGCAGCATGCAGCTGAGGGGTTTCTGTGAGAGTGTACTTTGATTTTGTGTCATTCCAATCTTTTCGGTACTTAATCTAGAAATGAGAAGCAAGTTGGTAAGTTCCTTGATATTAAGAACACATAATGTTGTCCAAGCAACTGTTAGCATCAGTCATCTCAATATTTACAATCTGTATCTCAGACAGTGATTGTACAATGAGCATAAGGACGTGGAAGAGCTTTGGAAATGGCATCTTCCAAACCCAACAGATCATCTTTATTTAAAAATTTAACAGAGCCATTTTAGAACAATAATCATGTACTTACATCGTTCAGGATTTCACCACTATGTTTTGCTGTCACATAATCAACTCGGTCATCCACAGGAGTAAAGTTGAGAGTCTCTATTTTTGTGCGATATTTTTTCTATGGGAAAGAAAATCTCTTTTAGACAATCATTGTCTCTGGTCCTGAACAAGACATGCTGCATTTAAGGGCGTGTCTGTACTAGAAGTGTAGAATGTCATATTTCAATGGCATCTTTTTGGCAATTTGGCTTTCTTCTTAGCATTTTAGTTTTAAACAAATGAGTTGACATCTTATACCTTCCACAGATTTTAAGGTAGCAGGTTTGCTTAGCTCCCCAAATCATGTAATATATCATTATGTGTCCTCAGGTATGTGTGTTTTTCAATTTTCAAACTTCTCTCATGTGTATTGCCATTGAGGACAGAAGAAAATTTTCCATTTATACAATTGCAAGCATCACTGAGTGGTCTTATAGGTATTCTTATGGGTGTGGTCCCACAATGTGACAGGGACAGTACAAGATTATTTTGGAAAGGAAAGCAATTGAAATTGTAATTGCTGTTAGGGAATGACTGCATGTGAGCTGATGTACTTTTGTTTAGTCTCTTAGGAAATGTGCTGAATTGTCAGGATAAGATCTTGGAATACCTCATTGAAGATGTCTGCCATATGCTTGGCATGATTGACAGAAACAGAATCAGCTGGCATCCACCCAATCCCACGTAGCCATTCCAAGTCAGCCTTGTAAATAGCCTGTGAAAATAAGACCAGGAAGAAGTCAGTGAGTCTGGTCACATTTATTCTATTCACTGGTCTGATGGAGAAATGCAATTTAAGAATGACATACTCAAGCACCAGACAAGTAACATAAGTAAATTAATGATGTGGCGGCATAATAAACTGGGGGCCATGTTTGCTATTTAAAGGGGTTTAGCCTTAATTCAGCCCCAGGTCATGACTACCAATGGCTAATTCATGTCTGGAGCTGCATCCTCTAATTTTTTTCCAACAAAATGGGAAATCCTAGATTTGTACACAAAACCCCCTGATTTTAAAACCTTTTAAAACTTATTTCAAAATTTAAAAACACTGTGTCAACTAAATTAGCATATCTATGCCTATAACCTGTCTGTGGACTGCCAATATTTTACTTACAATTTAAACCTCTGTTGCTGCTTAAGTTCTGTAGAAATAATACTTTCAGAATAGTTGTCTTTAACGTGATACAATTAAGAACTATGTTCAACTACCACTTATTTCCTTATCCTTCATGGTACTGGTGATTTTGATACCATACTATAAATTCTAACCAAAACCAAATTCTTGGCTGTATAAAGACATGAAGTGATGATGCAAGATTTAATGACATAAACTTTCTGGGAGTCCTGGGAAAATGATGAAAGAGTTCAGGCTAAGAGGCAGCGCACTCACATCGCTTTGCAGATCATAAGCTTTCCTGGCCTGAATCACGTCGTTCTGGTCAGGCATGCACGTCCACTGGTGCAGGTAATGGCGGTAATCAACGTCGCTGACCAGAGTCTGGGAGTTTTTAGAGTGCTCGATGGAAAGCATGTCCGGGGGGCTCTGGAACTTAGACTTCCATTTGGCCCAATGCAACCGGTACTCTCTTTCATTCTGAATCTTGCCAGCTATGAGGGCCCAGCGGATCTTGTTGTCGTCCCTGGCTGTGCGGGTGCCCACGTAGTGTCCCTTCTGCTTCTCATGATCAAGCTTGTATTTATACTGGAGACAGAAAAACAAAGCAGATGGATCACAGCGTGAACTCTCTGTGCACCTGGGGCCTTTGCATGAAAAACTGAGGAGTAAACAAGGCCACACTCACGTCACTGGCGATCTCCCTGGAGGCCTTGGCAGCCTGGATGGGGATGGCGTCCAGCCGAACGTCACAGCTCATCTTCATCTCATCCCAACCTTCACGGTAAAGTTTCTGAAGAGGAGGAAAAGCAAGGTATTGTTCCCGGTTCAAACTCACCAGTGACTACAGGGGTTCAAGTGGAATAAATAACAAAGGGGTACAGTTTTGAAGTCCTAGAACCAGTTTACAAAAAGAGAATAGGTGAAAGAATCATTATAGACCAATGTCCTGGAGAACAAAATCATGTCTGGAATCCAAAGATCTGGCCTTGACAAGGTTTTCTTCTTCTTTTAATTTGAGTTATAATTTCAATATGGTTGTTTATGTTTGATGTAAAAGGGTTTAGGTGCTTCTTGTATTGATAGCACTGGGATCAGTTTATGTTCAGACATTAATGGTCTATTATTGAATTTCTTCATAATTCTACTTAATTCTTCATTTCAATTTTGTAATCTTCAGAATTATAAACTTTTTACATTCTGAAAAACAAGAGGGTTTTTCATTTGAACAACAACAGGGTTTTTCCCTCTCTACACAGTTTTTTTTTTTTTTTTTAGATCTTCCAATACAATTGTTGATGCATACTGTTTGAGAGTGTTAGATCTTTTTACTGAAGCACTGATTGGAGGTAATGGGCCATTTTCTAAGTGTAGCGCTGTTGTGTTTGTTAAGAGAGGTCAATGAAAATAGTGACTGATTTACAGATAACGTTCTACATATATGTTCACATTTAAGTGGATAACTTCTGTATTAACAATGTTAGAAATAGCAGTAATTTAAATGTATAATTCAGAAATCAAACCTATCACTATTGTTCAGAGCTTGAACAAGGCAGAAAGGAGAAGTGAATTTCAATTAGTTTCACGGTCTTTGCATTTTGAAAAATGAGTGCTTAGATAGGATCTGTCCTTGTAAGTATGGAAAAGTTTTATATGAATTTTCATTCAAGTTTTTGTATTAATTTTGAGTGGGCCTATTTTAATTCTTGACTTGTTTTTGTACAAAAGAAAGTGTTTTCCACATTTAAATGTATTATAATAGAGAATATTTAATGGAAATTTGTAATTATGTTATTTTAAATTTTTTGTATTTGTTTTATTACACATATTATTATACTATTTTTTCTTATGTGATACACTTTCTTTATGTGGTCAAATATAATTTTTATTTGAGCTACAAAAAAACTGGACTTAGGACCTAACTTCTTCACCTACTAACTGTGAAAATGTGGGCAAATTCTTTAATCTTTTTAACTCTGAACTTTCCCATATGATTAAAAACAAAATAACACTGTCTTACCCATGTGATTGGTGTCAAGTTTAAATGAATCAATTTAATATGAATTTGCTTGGTTACCCATAAAATTATATACAAATATTCTGAAAAAAGCTGCTTTCTAAATGCTAAAAATAACTTAAAATAGTGGACTTTATCAAGATTACAGTACTAGCAACACTATGTATAAAGAAAGTTAATATTTTGTTTAGTATTCAAATAGGATGGTTGATACCTTCCAAAACAGAAGTCATTCTCACTAGTATCTAAATTTAACAACTCTACTTTTGGCATGGTGTCAAATACTAGTCTTGCTTATATCATGATACTAATGGTGTGGGCATGCATGCTAAGTTGCTTCAGTTGTGTCCAACTCTGTGCGACCCTATGGACTGTAGCCCACCAGGCTCCTCTGTCCATGGGATTCTCCAGACAGGAACACTGGAGTGGATTGCCATGCCTTCCTCCAGGGGATCTTTCTGACCCAGGAATCGAACCCAAATCCCTTTATGTCTTGGCAGAGAGGTTCTTTACCAATAGTGCCACCTAGGAAGCCCAATATTAATGGTAGGGTTCTGGTATTTCCAGCTGAGAAACTTATCATGCAAAAGATAGCATATGAGACTTTCCAGAATTCTTTTTCCAAAGATGCCTATGGATTGGAAGGAAGAGGCCGATTCTATTCAGTGAAGAGCTGGCTGTCTCTCCATCCACTCACTTGGCAATAAGAGTGCACTGCACCATATACTGTACAAATTTTAGTCCAAAAAAAGCATCAACATTTTGCTTTCTTCCCATCCCTTGGAAAAATTAGCTCCTAAGAGGCTCATTACAATAAAGTTGGTGGTGCAGTACAGCACATGGTGAGGAATCTTTACTTGGAAGACTCCTTTCACAAAGATTTATAATTTTTTGAAAGATAGAAGGTTTCAAGCCATGGTGGACTGTATTAAGAAAGACAGTATCCTTCTTCTAAGGTCATACTGTTCCACACACAGAAAAATCTCTGTGATTCATGAAGGTACGACCTTTCTTGAACTTTCTTAAACTGTGAAGCTACCTGTGTAATTGAATTCTTTCATTTTATCTAATAAGAGTTTTAAGTTGATCTCTCCCTTTCCCCTGGCATACAATGATTTATTCTGCAAAGGATGATAATTCTGCCTTTTTCTTTCTGATATTTTTCTCTTATCCTTACTCTTTTTTTTTTCCTTTTTTTATGGATGTGCCGGCTTTTCATTGCTGTGCAGGCTTTTCACTAGTTGAGGCGAGCAGGGGCTACTCTTTGTTGCAGAGTAATGGGCTTTTCATGGCAGTGCTTCTCTTGTGGAACACAGGCCCTAGGGCACACGGGCTTTAATAGCTGCAGTTCCTGGGCTCAGGCTCAGTCGTCGTGGCACATAGGCTTGGTTGCTCTGCGGCANGAAAAAGACTCTGATGATGGGAAAGATTGAAGGCAGGAGGAGAAGGGGATGACAGAGGATGAGATGGTTGGATGGCATCACTGACTCAATGGACATGAGTTTGAGTAAACTCTGGGAATTGGTGATGGACAGGGAGGCCTGGCGTGCTGCGGTCCATGGGGGTCACAAAGAGTTGATGCAACTGAGCTACTGAACTGAACTAGTGGGCATCCTTGGTTTACTCCTGACTTGAATGAGAAACTTACTTACTTGATGAGCCTTGCCTTTGATTTGAAATTTATTCTTAGTTATGACAAGAAAATATTCATTTATTCTTATTTTGCTAAGATTTTATTTAAAAAAAATAAGAATGGATATTTGATTTGGTCACACATCTTTTAAAATCTAATAAAATGAGCATATAATTTTTCTCTTTTATTCTATCACATTATCAGTTTTCTGAATATGAAATACTTTTGGCATTCCTGAATGAATCCTAGTTATTTGTTTATCATATTCATGTACTATCAAATTTGATTTGTTAATATTTCATTTAAGATTTCCTCATTATTATTGGTCTACAGTTTTCCTTTGAAGCACTTATCTTTGACAAGTTTTGATAATGGTGAAGCCTTTCCTTCTTTTATTAGGCTCTATAGTCATTTATTCCTTGAAGTTTGGAAAGAATTGCCCTATAAATTCATCTGGGTGATCCTGACATCAGAGAGGAGTGAGGAGAGGTCTTTAATAACCCTCTTCATTTCTTATAATATGTTTTTATTCTTTTTCTGGGGTCAATTTTAGTAATTTATAATTTCATAAAAAGAATCCCCTATATATCTGGGTTTTAAAATTAATTTAAATACAGTTGTGAAATGAATTCTAATTATTTTATGTTCATCTGAATCTGTCATTCATGCCCCTGTCTTGTTTGTGCCTCTTCATTCCTCTTTCATCATCTTTCTCCTTTTCCCTTCTCTCTTTTGTCATGTTGACGTTGCCTCACAGTAACTGGCCTTACCCAGTGATTCAGAACCAGGGATCTGCCCTTCTCCTCACTCCTGGCCAAGGGCCTCCTTACCCACACAATCTTCTCTTTCTTGGCTATGAAGAGTTCCCCAGTGATAGCTTCGTACCGATTGGGCAACTTTCCAAACAAAAGGGGAGTCTGTTGCAGTACTTACATTGCTCACGTTAAGAGCATTGGCTCTAGCAAGATTAATTTCTGGAGTATCTGGCATTATGTGGACTGAAGTTTTATCCTTGTCCCAAACTTCTCTGTACTTTGGCTGTGGAAAGAACAATAACAAAATTACTTCACAGTTTGTAATTTTGCTAGTTGCAGTATACAACTTTTGATTTTTTTTGGTCCCAAATCTTTTCATATTAAAAATTTTCAGAATCTTTTCACATAAGTTACTCAAATTTGTTATGAAATCTGCACTACTACCTTTCATTTGTATTTTGAGATTTTGTTTAAAACTAGTAAGCAGTAACAAAACAACTGTGTCAACGTCACTTACTAAAATCTTTGCTATCATCAATATTACTATTATCTTACAAATGGATTACCAGATTAATTATTTAGCATTCCTTTATAACATGAACTTAATTTTAATACAGAACAAAAATGTGACTCACAATACTAATATTTTCAGCATTTGATTTAGCAAGGACCACTTCAGGTGTGTCAACAATACTTGTGTACTTGAGTTTCACCACAGGTGTCCGATAGACACTGTCTCGGAAGATATGCTGGGCATTTTTGACTCTCAATACTTCCGGAGATCCTTCAGGCATCCAGCCGATGCCACGGAGCCACTCCAAGTCAGCCTTGTAGATGGCCTGGGAAAGGAAACCAAGTCAGGAGGGGCAGGTTTTGTTTTTTTTTTAATCTGTGGTAAAGTAAGAAAGCAGCTTTTCATGTTACATTTTCTCTCCCAGAAACAAAAATAAAGCTGAGCATGGGCCTAACAGAAAGAATTTCTCCTATGCACAGCAGTGTTTGTCCTGCTTTGTCTTCTGTGGTGTGTGTGTGTGTGTTCCTGTGCATACACAAATTCTAGAAAGCAGAGTGATGCAGAAGGGATGCCCTGCTTGGGGGATCTGTGGGAGATTTTTTGAATATTTTGGTTATCATCTCATTAGCCAATGCAGACTTTGAAAAAAATAATAATAGACTCTCCAACAAGTTCTCCACACAAAAGCCAGAATGGTCTTTACAAAATTCATTATTCAAATCTGATGTCACAACATCCTCCCAACTTATGACTTCCCATTGGTCTCAAGATAAAGATCAACATGTTCATATAGACTAGACTGTGATGATGGCCGAGCATCAGTCCCTACTCATTCTTCCAACCTCATCTGACATGTGCTTCCCTTTGACCCATATGTTCTGACCACACTGGCCTTTCAGTTTGTGGTTTACATATACCCCCCTTTGTATATGTTGGTCATTCTGCAAGAATGTCCCCTGTGTTTTCCTCACTGAACCAACTCCTATTCTCTTATCTCTAAATCAGCATGTCCCCAGAGAAGCTTTTCCTACCTCACTTTTTCATAGTGCAAGGACCACTCTTTTTTAGCCATCCCATTTTTGCTGATATTCACTAGTTGACATCTGTTCCTTTCTCATCAATGTGAACTTCCTTAAGTCAGGAACTTTGTCTTGTTCTTCTTTATTCACCATTGTGCATTTAGTGCTCAGCACAAGACGTGGTACATGGTCGATTTAATAATTATTTTTAAAGGGATAATTAAGAACTCAATCCCTAGTGCCACAATTTCGATCCCACTTGGGTTTTCTTTTTCAGCACTTCCTTTTGAACTTGGATTTGCATTTTCTTGGCTATTTCAACATGTTTTCTCAGGAATATGTAAATGGTTAACCAGATAAAATTGCTCTATGTGAACATCAGTTATTAATTTCATTAAAAAACCATTGTGTTCTTCAGAAATAATATATTAGTAACTAATAGGATACAAATATCAAGCTAAAATAAGGAGTAAGAGGAGTCAAAATGCAGGGAAATTTCTACCTCAGTGAAGAAGGTTATATGTTTTAGTGTGTGAAGTATGACAGATACCCAAAATCTAGAAAGATTCTTGAAGAGGATTACATAGGTTTTGAAGCTTCCCTTTCTCATTCTTTAAGAACTTGATTGATATGCATTCTTTAATACACCCATGTTAATGAAGAGACTGCATTTATCTAGAAACTGGACTAAACTCACCAAATGGCAATCATTTCAAATGATGGGTATACTCTTCTATAATAAACTCATCTATTATATAAAAATATCAACTGAAGCTTAAGGGAAGTTCAGACAATTAAAAGAAGGAATTCATTCTGTACAAGAAACAAATATCCTGATGGAACTCATTATTTTCAAAGATCGAATGGTTAGAAAATATATGTAAATCTTAAAATACTTTGGGCAAACTAATGAAACATGTTATGAAGAATACAAAGTTAAGGGAAATGAGTGAGCTTAGAGCATGTTGCTAATCTTTTAAATTAATTTCAAGAAGACAGCCCTTGTCATTCTTCAACTGAAGAAACATGATATTTAATAAGCTACAAACAATGAATACATTAACAAAATCTATAGAAAAACTGTGGTAGCACCACTGACAATGAAGATGAAAACTTTCTGAATAAGCCCAGAAGTAAGGCTTGTGATGGACAAACTTAGTAAGATATCCCAGGCAAGTGCTCAGGCAGGGAGAATGTTCCTGAACATTGGAAGGAGTGACCGGGCAAAGCTGTGGAAGGCTGTCTTCCTGGGGAATAGTCACCCCGCCCCACCCCCAGGCACCACAGCAACAACTTACGTCACTCTGCAGGTCATAGGCTTTCCTGGCTTGGATCACGTCATTCTGGTCAGGAAAGCAAGACCACTGGTGTAGGTACTGGCGATAGTCCACATCGCTTGCTAACGCCTGGCCTTCTTTGGCAGCGTTGATGGACACCATGTCCACCGGGATGGTAATCTTGGCCTTGTGGTCATTGTATGCCTTTTTGTACAGCCTGTCATTCTGCATCTTCAACACATTTGCTGCCCAGACCAGTTTAGGGTCTTCCTTGGCACTGCGACACCCAATGTAATGACCTTTCTGTTTCTCGTAAGCAGTTTTGTATAGATACTGGTGGATGTGAACAGAAGAAAGAAGATTTGTTTCTCCAAACCAACTTTTTCTGGACAGCCTGTTCAAATAATTCCCTCATATTACCCTTTTGGGGGCACTGTTTTCCTTTAAATTCTTACTACAAGTTTTATACTTGATACTCTGGTTTGCCTTCTACGTCTATATTCATGAAAACATTGTGAACACCTCAAAGGCAAGAACTGTGCTTCTGGGTTATCCTCCAGTATAGGATTGCCCACTGTTTCCCAAACTTCAGTCGTCGTGTGCCATGCTCACATGTTCTGCCATAAAGTTTTGTGACAATACTACTTGTACTTCATATTTTACCTTGTCAACCTGATTGCTTGCCTACATAAATATATTTTAAAGTTTAAACTTATTTGCAATTTTTAAAATTTATAATCCTATCTAAGTGGGCAAAATCAGTGTTTTTTTCTAGCACACATTAAAACAAATGTAACTGTCTTAAAAATGCTTGTCCATGTACTACATAAAATTATCCCAGGAATCACCTAGGCATGCTGCACTTCAAGAAACAATAGAATTCTTTGTGCACACTGGATCTCTGTAAGTGTTTATACATTAACTTATACTGAGAAGATATTGAAAAGAAAATCAAAATCTGTGCTTAAATATATGAAGTGTGGAAATAGGCAGAGAAGTAAAAGTCATCAAATTGTTGTCAAAGTTGTTCTTGAATTTGGAATTTTAAAGCAAGACACTAGTAACAATGCCCTTCATTCTACTTAAATATAATTCCTAGGGAATTATGTTAAAAGATTAGTACAGTTTTATCTCTCTGACAGTCTGTGAATTAGTGTTTGTTAAGGCTGAGCAAAGAGGAGCTCTCACATCACTGGCAATGTCCCTGGAAGCCTTGGCGTGCTGGATTCCAATGGCGTCTGCCCTCAGGTCATAGCCGGTCATCTTGACATCTTCCCAAGCTTGCTGATACTGTTTCTGCAAATGGAGATTGCAATGCCACAGTCAATCTAAAGAGGGGGCTACTGAGTCAGCACTACTGATGTGTTCAAGAACAAACGTTAACAGTTACATTGAAAAATTAACTTTCCCTTAAGATTTATAAAATAGACTGGTTTCATACTGAACTTAAATTCTAGTACATTTTAATGACATTTAGTAAAATTCTCTTCCTGGATCTTTTCTTTTTTTTTTTTTTAAAGAAGAGGATTTAAAGGACAACAAATCACATGAAAGTGAGAAAAATTGTGTGTGCATAGTTTGGCCTTTAAAAATAAAAATCAATGATAGGCCACTAAAAATGAAAACTAAATATTACTATGCATGCATATCTATGTTTTGATGTCATGTGTTTGGTGTAAACCACATTTTTCCTACTAAAAAAGACAAGGACGTATTATAAACACACTCAGGTGTGTGTGCACACACATACGGCACTTATTAGGGACTAGAAGTAAAAGGGATGTTAATGAAATGCCTATTGCTAAGTGCTCTCTGAAGCACACTAAGGAGAGGTTTGGTGAGGCAGAGAACATGGTGTGAAGCAAGTGGCTGTGCCCAGCCTTACATTGCTGATCTGCATGGCATTGATCTTGGACTGCAGCATCAAGGGAGTATCAGCTGGTACATTCACGTTCGCCTTCTCTTTCTCCCAGGCATCACGATACAATGGCTGGTAAAAAGGAAAAACAAAGGATTGTTGATTAGTAAATAAACCAATTACTACATGAGTAAAACTATAGGTATGATGAAAGTTTCTCTTTGGATGTGTTCAGATATAAATGTAAATCGCATTTTGTTTTCATCTGTGTTTTTATTCAGAAGGTGCCCAAAGTGACTTCAACAAGAACACATTCATGTGTGTTATAAATGTAAAATGAATCAGAAACATGAACTAAACGTATCCTCTTTTATTTATTCACATGTAATTATCTGACAGATAAGCCCTCATTGCAGGTGACTGTGATAAACCACATTTTTAATCGAGTCCTGGCTTTCTTGGCCCAAATAACTATCATAATGTCTAATATTAGAGCTGCCTCTGGACTTTCAACTTATTCCACCATTGAATAGCAATAAAAAGGTGACAATTTTGTGGTCATGGTATTAACTGGTGGACCTGTACACAGGCCAGGTTTCAAAATGTGTTCAAAGTGTACATCAGAGTCTATGGAACATGAAGATGCCTACCACACTTATACTGACCAAAGAGTTATCTAAGCAAATGAATTGTGGATGCCGTTATTGATTGGTTACATGAGATTCTATCTGGATACATGCATGCTCAAGATTCAAGATTCTAATCCTGGTGTTAGCAGTTTAAAGTTCACAATTACAATTTTTTCTTTTCTCTTTTTAAAATTATGACAGTATGATAACATATTTACAGGAGACTTGGAAGATACAGAACAAAGTTACATATAGTTCTATTATATAGTATGTTATTTCTTAAGTAGATAAATGATTTTTCTTAATAAATGTTATTTCTTAAGTAGATAAATAAATCTTAAGTAGATAAATTTTCAGTTGGAGTTTCAATATCAAACTCTCAAAAATTAACAAAATGAATATACAGAAAAGTAGAAGGATATAGCAGATCTGAAAAGCATTATGAACCAATTCTACAATATTAAGATTTATACAATTTTCACACAATAGTAGGATACAAATTCTATTCCAGTTACCATAGACAATAAACCAGGAAACACTGA